CAGCGTTTGGGAAGCGCGGGCGTTTGTGCTTCAGAGGAAACCCCCGCGTCCTGCGTCGCCGTTTCAACTGTCTCGAGAATCATCAAGGGATGCAGCGGCGACCGTGCCGCATCGCCGGCGAGTGCGCATGAATGCAACCCCCCCCTCCCGGGTTGAAAATATTACCTTGACGGTACTAAATGCCCGGCACAAAGGGCGGCCTGCTTGCTCTGTCGCCCGCCGCAGAAAGACCCGGCTACGGGGCTGCGTTGAGGGAACGAACGGCGGCCGGCGAGCAAGCCGTAAAACCCCTGGACGAATTCCGCCAATAGCCGCCGCAGCGAAACGCGGGATCAACAGGGAAGTGCGTAAAAGTCGAGTACCTGTGGTACGGGCAGTAAAGGCAACTGTGGATCAAGCAAAACCAACCTTAACCACTCTTGCAGACGCGGCCCGCAGGTAGGGGGAGTGGGGGGGGAGGGGGGTGTGGCGTATCTTTTGATTTCCAACCAAAGACGTGCCCGAGACCCGCCGCGGAAAATTGTGGATACCGTGATGAATAATCCTGTGCGGCTCGCCCTCGGCTTACGAAATCAGGCCCATGACCACCCCCCGGCTTGCACAAAATGTTCAGTAAAGACACGCCCCATCCCCACTATACCCCTGGTTCTTTCAATGCGGGTCTGCAGTCTCCGTAAATCCATTTGAGACCCGGGCAACACGATACCTATCGAAGAGAGGGAAGGGACCTGTAGGTTCTGCACTAGACTTGGGGAATCCAAGCTTTGATTCCAATGCCGAGCCCTGGACTACTTTCAAGCGGTGGCGATGACGATGATGGTGATGGTATGGGGCAAGCAAGAAGTCGGTAAACAATAGAGGGATGCATGTTGCTTGCGGCTCCATTGTAAGGTTGATTGCAGACACACTGTAAAAATAAAATCAAAATACAAAATACAAAAACATCTTGCCTATGAGTAAAGAACGACAAGAAGACCAATCACCCCCCCTTCTCGTCGAGGCGGTGTCGTTCCATCAGAATCAGATAACTTGCTCCCTCCCCCCCGTTGCCCATTTCTTTCTTTCTCTGACAACGTTTGACGTCAACGAAACCCCCTGGGGGTCCTCCAATCTCTCAATCCCTTGCCGAATCTGCCTCGAATCCTTCGCGCGAAGTGGTCCAACGAGAGACGGAGAGAGAGGAAGAGGACACGCGTAAAGTGTGAGGTGGACTCAGGGAGCCGAGTTAGAGAACAATGGGTCAGTGCAGGGCAGAGGGGGGGGGGGGGAAGGGGGGGCCAAGCCACATATGGCGCGTCCGCCACCTTGGAAGTCGAGACCTTTCATCCAGAGATCTAGAATCGTGAGTCCGCCCCCCCTTATCAGGAGATCATCGGCGACAGCCCAGCGGGATAGCATAACGCGCGACGATGCCCGTGGAGCAGATGACATGATGGACGCACCTCTGAAGATCATGGGTCCGGCAGCCGCCCCCCCCCCCTCACCATCGATAAGGAAGAGAGGTCCTTTGACCTGGAGGGGCGGGGTTCATGTTATCGGGTACCATACTATTGTGCACTACCTGTAATACGGTATGGTGTAAATCGTATGTAGACATGGCCATCATGACCTCTACACTGCCCATCCCCCGACGCATCACGCACCGCACTCATCTCCCCCCTCCTCCCTCCATGCACCCCCTGGCTGAATTTCCATTGATGCTGCAAATACATAGAGATCGAAGCGTTTTGGGTGGAGGGGCAAGAAATCAAATCGTCCCTTTGCTATATGCGACTGGGATTGCGTTACGATCCACGACGACACTCACTCGTCATCAAGCAAAAATGGGGGCCAGGACCAACTTGGCCCGTGCACTATTGCCATTTGCACAAATCCCATACTACTACAGCCCCTCCTGCCCAGTGCAAATGCAGTGCGCCTCAGATGATCGACGACCGAGGCAGCTAGGGTATACAGATGGGAACCCCCCCCCCCCCCCCAAAGCGTGGCATGAGGGAGACTAGGGAAAAAAAAGAAGAAAAAAAAGGAGGCCGCGGACGTGTCACATGCACGATGGGCGTACTCTCTCACAGGGCCTCGAAGCCAGCCAGCCGTATTCATTGCGTTGGACAGCAAAGAGGTTGGGTCCAATTTCCCATTATGCCTGTCTCGCCAGGGACCCTTTCTTCACCGCCCATCATACTCCACGATAAGCAAGGACGGGAAATCTCTTCTCGGTAAATTTGGTGTGTTTTTTCTTATTCTTCTTCCTCTTCTTCTCGAGATTGGCAGGGCTTTCGAAAAACGTAGGGTTGGCTGGCGAGGCCAGGGGGGTCTGGAGGGGGAGGGCGGTCAGGCAAGGCAAAGAAAATGTATCGCGAGCTCGTTGGTTGCAGTCGGGCGAAACAAATGGTGCTCCTGTCACTGTCACTTGCCGCCGAGGAACTCATACCTAGCCTTCCGGTCAAGTCATGTTTTAAAGGTTGTTGCCGAGACTGGCGAGTGACAAAAGGCGGGGGGGTTTGAGATGGTCTCTTGTCTTGTCCGACGGATTCAGCAGCGATTGCGACGTTGGCGACCTGAATCGCCTGTTGCGATGCCCCTGTATTGACATGACCGGATCAGCTGAAGCGTTCCGACGGCGGCGGCGAACAGCGGCGAACGGCGCTGGATCGACGTACACTAATTGAATGCCTCTCAAACACTTGCCCTTCGCTCTTCGCTCTTGTATCCATCGTCCGCCCCTTCGGCCCATTTGTACTTGTGCCGGCCGTCGCGGAGCGAAATCGGCGCTGGCAGGTCAACTGCTGGTCCGCGGTGCAAACATGTTTTGACTCACACACACCGGTCAACGGGATAACTCCAACCCGCAACCTCTGCCGCGCTTGTCGCTGACGACGAGCCAGAACTCGCCGCGAGATTTGAGCCATGTAGCCGTCAGCATCGTTCCCACGATGCGCTGTCCAGCAGAACGCACAGGCTGGTTGGCAACACGTATAGTATGTATATGACAATTTTGATAACAGGAACAGGGACCCTCCTCTTCAGCCTGCCGCGACGGACGAATGGCCAGGGCTTCGGGACACGCTCGTCTCTTGCGACATAGACGACAAGGGCAAGGACGAGCCAAGCCCCAAACCATCATGCTATTCCCTTTAATCTGCCAATCTCCAGTCCGAAGCGAGATCTTGCTGCCTGCTGCGCCCTTATGTAAGGCGGGGCGGAAGGGAGGGGGGTGTGAATGGGTCGCTTCCGCCTGACAGAGAGGCGGAGTACACGTGGTGCTCGGAGGTCCAAGCGGCCACTGTACGCTAAACCCGCAGCGCCGCAGTAGCCGGTCCCCGAACGAGGGGGGCCTCGAACGGGTTCTAACCGTTGCCATCCTCGTCTCTTGGGTATTCTTGTCTGAAATGTCTTGCGTAAGCCCGCCCTTCTGGTCGTTCGTGGAAATCGAGAAGCCAGTTTGGCCTTGGCCTCGATTTAGCTTCTGGTGGCTTCGCTGTCCCCAGTGTCTTGTGGTGCGGGATTCATCCGTCACCGAGCACGCCCTGTGGGAACAGCCAGCGCCAGCAAATAAATGGGTATGGGGAAGAGCGGGGAGGAGATTGATGACTGTCGGCGACCTGCATTTGCTGTTGAGGCCACACACCCCTGCTCCTATCGTATGCGGACGCGCACACACGCCTTCATGTTTTCTTCGTGTGTCGGCTTCGTATCGCCTTATTCGAGAGTCATTCCATTGTTTGACAAGACGCAGCCGCTGCCATCGTCGTCATCATCCTCGTCGTCGTCGTCGCCTCGCTCGCCAAACCTTCACCGTCCACCATCCTGGCGCAGAATGCCGGTTGCTACACAGCGCCGCATTCGTAAATCTTGTGCTGTCGCCGGCGAATATTGTCGGTGACATTCTCTCGGTGCAATTGGCCTGGAGGGGGGTGGGCGTGGCCTGGTGGGCACTAGTCGAAGAACAACGAAGGCTTTTCGCTTCCTCACATCCAGGCAGCGCTTTTTGGCGTGTTAAACCCGACTGTCCTCGGAAGGGGATGGGAGTTAGTCAAAACACACCGCCAAAGTCCGACAGATGCCACAAAGATTTTCCATCGTGATTCGTCCACGATACGGCTCCCGCAGCAAAACGGGCATGGTGCCAAGATAACTGGCTGGATGGGCGTGGGCGTAGAATGTCGGACGGAACTGGTCCAGCTGAGCGAGTCTTGGGATTCTTCGTGTCTCTCAGATGAGGTAAGCGAGGGATGGGACGGATGTTGAGCGAGGCCGATCTGCCGAGATCGCACGGCGCGCATCCGGTGCCTGAAGGTGTGTGGTGGTTTCCCCCCCCCCTTTACTCGTCGGTGCAACTGAGCCCATTATCGACTACTTGGTGAATCATGTGGACTGCCTAAATGACTCGTCAACCAGTTTCAACCGCACGACGAGGCGAATGAAAACCAATGATGCAATCATTATCTCCGCTCGTGCGGAAACATCCGCAGCACAAAGAGAGAAAAAAACTTTGGGAATGGGAAGGGGGGGGGGGGGTCAAGATTGAAGTTTGTTTCAATTGATTTCTGATTCTGGGCCGCTTTTGAGGGGGGGAACTGGTGTCAACCCCCCTGCGGCACTGTTATCTATCTGTCTGTAACACAACGCTGGACCACTCAACCCACAACATCTCCACGATAGGGAGGCGGGAGCGGCAGCAGAAGAGAAGTGAAGTTCCCAATAATCGCCCAATATCCATCAAGGCCCCCAAAATATGATCCACATAACGCAGTGCCTTGCTTTTCGTTGCAACATTTAAAAAAGGAGGAGATGAGTAGAAAGTTCCCGAGGCTGGTGACATTGCTGTCGTGTTGTAAATGAAAAAGGTGCCATAATCGTTATCCCGTGCCGTAGTTTTGGGGTATCGATAGGAAAACGCCGTAATATGCCAAACGCTCGCTGTATAAACCAAAAGTAGGCATCATACAAAATCACAGACATGGAAGTGTGAGACCATTGCTCGGATGTGGACTTTTTCTTTAGTACACCGAGATGGCAGACACGAGCCTTGCTGGATTACGAGGCGGCAAGTAGAAGCCTTCCGAGTAGAAGGAGCCGTCGTCGCTTTGTTGTTGTTGCTGTTGCGAGATGTCTTCCTTGGCATCCTTCTCGGTGAAGGTGAGCACGGCGTTTGGCGGTGACGGAGGCATCGACTCGTCATCTGAGATGTCGGAGTCGTGCTCCAGCTCTGGTGGTGAGCTGCTGCTAGAATGGGATGGTGTTCGGACGAGCTCGAGCTGTGCGTAGTCCTCCTCGAGGTCGTCCTCCATGTCGTAGTCTTCTGACACCTCCATGGTAGTGGTCTTTGGCGATGTGGGGACAGCGGAGGCGGAGGGCATGCGGCGAAGAGAGACGGCGTTGGCCATCTCAATGTCATCCTCGTCGTAATCATCGTCCGAGTCCGAAGAGGAGTCGTCCGAGTCGGAGGCGTCGTCGGCGTGCCAGTCATCTTCGGGGTCCTCGACGACGGAGCCGGCCCATTGTACGTGGCGTTCCTCGGTCTTGGTGGCACCGCGGACGGATTGGTTGAACCAGCTCTCTTGTTCCCGCTCAGCATCGGCGAGCTCGAGCATCAGGGAGTCGAGGAGGTTGGCGTGGCCGACGAGCAGGCGGAGTTCGTGGTCGGCGCGGGCCGCCTCCGAGGACAACTTGGCCCGGGCCTTGTGGGCGAGGTAGTAGGTCTGAGTGATGCTCATCTTCTTCTTCTGGACGGCAAGGCGAAGAGGCGAGGAGGAAGACGTGAACTGATGTTGTGTGTGAGGAGGAGGAAAAGCAGCGGTGGTTGTGGTTGTTGTCGACATTTTGTGTGACTGTGCACCGGCGGTGACTGATATGTCGCGATTTCGGGAGGTATGACTCAAAGCGAAATCGGGGGTCGATTTGATGTGATGGTAAATGGTTGGTGCAGGGATGCCTGGGCTAGCTTGCTTGGTTTGGTCTGTGATGCTTTGATGGCGAGTGTCTGCCTGGTTTGGGGTACTTGGGCGGGGAACAGACAGACAGACAGAGAGAGACAGGGTCGATGATGTTATATAGTGATCAAGTTTCTTCTTGGAATGGGATACCGATCTTGGTCTGTCTGTGAGTCTGTTTAAGCTGAGGCTGGATGGTGATGAGAGCTCTACATGTGGCCGGGAAAGGGAAACACTTTTCTTTTAACTTGGGTTCCATCCACTTGCTTCGCTGACCTGGTGTCGGGCTCGGAGAGAAGAAAAGACAAGGAGGAAGCGGTGACCAGGGGGGGAGGGGTGCGGTGTGCGAGGACCCCGGCGGTGCGGTGCAGGTGCAGGGAGTGGATGACTTGCCCAAGGAACCGGGGAGTGGGGCAGAGGGGGGGTGTGGTGTGGAAGGAAAGGGCGGCGGAAGACTCATCGCACACGCATAATTATTGTGGACGGCGGGTCGTGGACTTTGGGCGGCGTTTGTCATCAGTAAAAGCCGAGGGGGCACGGTTGCTGCTTGCCGAGCCTCCGCCCAGCCAGGTAGGTAGATACTAGGCATGGCGGTGTTCGGACTTTCCAGCTTACCTACGCTGCTGGCCGGTGCGCCGTGCACGGGGAAAGTACGGTGCACCTTCTTCGCCTACCTAAGCAGCAGCGCGTCTGGGTCTGACGCACTCGGCGGAAAGAGCGAAAGGACCACTACCCCTGCCGCACATACCAATGGGGGGCGGCCTTAGGTACGTATCCCCGAAACCGCACCCCATACCTCCCTCCTGCTTCTACCCTCTTCGAGTGCACTAGTCACAGTCACGATGGATGGATAGGTAATCGTTAGCGTTTGTCAGCTAGTTTTCTCTGTAATCAATCCAAATCCCCATCCGACCTACCCTACGGAGTACCTGAGTAGGTAGGCACCTAGTCTACCGTCCGCAGGGACATAGCACGGATAGTAGGTACTCCGTACCTAACTCCGCAATCACCACCCCAACTGGCGATTAATCAACACCCAACACCACCGCGGCCTTGCCTTGCTTCTCCACGTTACCAATCCACAGTCGGTCGTCTGTCGGGTCGGGCACGTCATTTCATCTTAGCCCGGCCATCCTTGATTTCATTTCATCTGACACGCCTGACGAATGTCGAGAACAAAGCCCAAGGCCACTCCCCCCACCCCCGGCATATCTCTTCTGGCAGCCAGGCACGCACGCAACGGCTTTAATTTCCATTATCCACCCCAGCTATACGGAGTAAGCTACGGAGTATAACAGAAATCGCACACAGGTCGACCATCTGCGACAAGCTGAGGCCAGCAAGCGAAAGGACAGGGACGGACGGGCCTCAATTGCCAATGCCAATGCCATCCCAAGATCCACAGCTGCCAACCCAAACTGTTCGCCCTGGGCAAAGGTTGCGAGGAAGGAGACGCCCTGATGTCGCCGTCTTTTCCCAATCGGGATAATGCCAGCAGTACCACCATGGTTCCTTCAGATCCCGGCTCAATACAAGGCGGGAAGGCAATGACTTAGGAACATACCCTCACGCACCGTAGCACAGCTTGCACCGCCCCGGTCGCCCGTCGGCTTCGTTGCAAAGGTCTTGGGGCGGGTTGCGAATGCGAGCCTGAGACGAGACGCGACAGGGTGACTGCTAATTAGCTAGCTGACTGGCGTTTTCTTACCAATACTAATACACTCTCCTCTCAGTAGGTTCGTCGGACACGCGCCAATCACAACCCTTTGCGGCCAACCCACGTCACGTCTTCCTTGGAACCGTACGGAAATACGAATGGCTCCGAGCCCATCTCCTTTGTAGGGCTGAAGGCAACGTAGCAGTCCACTCGCACTCCCATTCCCCCTAGGTACGGAGGAACGGAGGTACGGATGCAGACCTGCTCTGCACTGCTGACAGACCATAACTCTCCGCTCCGCGTTGGGTTTAACGCGTAGCCGTATCTCGCTCTCGCTTGCAATCCCGTCTACGCAGTATACGGCTGGTGCCTGGATGGGGGGGCCCAGCCACAGGGTCATGATCGGCTTTCGTAACTACCCGACCCTGCTCAAAGATCAATTGCCCCGGGTGACGGCGGCGGTAGAAACACGTCGCTGGCAAGCCTGACAATCGCCCAATTGAGGGTCCATCCTTCTCAATACTTCCGTGCGTCAATTGCTGTCAGGCACTAACAGACTGCGGACAGACCGTCAATCAAGTGCCAGGAAACAGACATCAGACATCATGGCACGCACCGTTACCCTGGGGACGGCAACGAAACCAAGGATCCCGTTTACTGGGTCGCACGGAACCTGTCTACCTAGGGACGACAAAAACCCAACTGGGGCCGTTGACCCGTCTCCGGCTTCACCCATGCCGAAATAAAGCCTATTGAGATAATGGGTTGTGGTCGTCCAAACTTTATTGGAATTGGGGGTATCTGGAGTCCATTGGCACCGCCATCGGGCACGGATCAAGGGGACAGCTGCCAATGGAAGAAAAAAGGATTCATCATCAATAAGGATTGCTCATCAGTCAGATGGCGGAAACGGAATTGACAGGGGGTGAGCTGTTTCAACCCTAGGTCCGCATACTCAACGCACACGCCCCCTCTCCCTTCTTCCACTATCCCTAATCTAGCCGACCAGCCTACCGGTATGGTATCGAACCGTCCAGCAGCCAGAAGTCGCGGCCACTGCTGTTGAGTCGTTATGAGCCATCAGGTACTCTGCCAACCTGTCTGTCTGCCTATTGCGACTTTGGCCCGGACGTGGCAGAATCCACGGCATCATCGAGCGTGGCTTGCTGCTGCTGCATGCATGCATGCTAAGAATCACACACTCCTTCTCGCTCTGACGACGAATCCGGTTCACCCAATCTTGGTCCTGTTCCAAGAGCAATCCAACCCCCTACATGCCGTCCCATCTCTCGTGAGAAACATCCAAGCCACCGTGCCACGTCAAGAGGCAGTTTGATTCCGCCGTCTTCGTACGTGTGGCGTTCCCACTGCGGCAGCCGAGCGGAGGCCGGGATAGTGGATCTGGCCGCCCGGTTTCCGCGCGTGACCACTCTTCATATTTGACTTTCCTTTCTTAGCGTCGCGGGGAATTGGGGGCGGCTGTGCCTGGCAGAAGCCAGGGTAGGAAACTCCTTGGTGCTTTGCACAAGAACCCGCGTTCCCAGGGCACGTGTTACGATTATCCACAGCGTATCCGTCACATCCATCCCTTCTCTGAAAGGTTCCTGAAGCTATTCGTCCCGAGCATTTGGTGAGGAGACCCCGTGCCATCTCCTGGCCCGACTCTCTCCGCAAGAAGACGTGGGGGTGAGGGTAGGGAAAACAAGGCTCGTGATTGGGTCCCGTGTCGTCCGGACGTCTGCCCGGGTTTTAACGATGGTACGGGTTTAAGAAGGAGGAAGAAGAATCGGAGTTCGGGACCTTCGGGCTGCCGCAAGCCTTTTCTGGCCGTCATAGTCCCTGGCCCCCTCCTTTGTGACTGTGAGGGCTACTTCCCGACTTACCCGCAGCGTTGGTTCCCTTGTCGCCTCGGTCCCGATCAATGACGAGCAGAACCAACACCTACGGATACCCGCTCTGTGAGTGGAGCACCTCGACTTCAGTCATGCGTCCAGCGTCAGCGACTCTCGCGATTCTCACCAAAGACCCTAAAAGCTTATTTCACTTTTCCCATGAAAGCTCCCAATCCAGCGGTAACAACGCCCGGTCCATGCTCCCTGCGCTCGTGAGACCCTATCCGACGGCGACCATCGTGCTTCCTAATCCCCGCACCGAAGAAACACAATCACAACTGTCCCGTCCTTGCCGTTCCTTCGCATCTGTATCTACGTCATGGAATCGCTGAATGACACACATGGGGAGAAGCAAGATATGTATGCAGCCCTGCAAGCGGGCCCCTCGTCAGAAGCCGCCCTGGCGTGCGTCGCGTGTGGGCAGCGAGTGAGCTTACGCAGCACATAAGTCTTCCATGCCGCTCGGTTGCGATTCGGCAATGGGTGAGGGCGTGTCGGCACAGTGATTACAATGCAAGGCCATCGGTAAGCTCCTTGCGGAGCACAGAGTGCAATGGAACGTGACAGCGAACCCGCTGATGCTGCAGGTTTCAGAGATAGGGCTGGCGTGGAGTAGGTATGGAACAGGTCGCTGAAGGGCAGACGGTATGCGGAGCACCATGGTGGGTGGTGGTGGGGGTGAGGCCAATGGCTCTCGAGGACCAGATAGCCGGTGATACTATTCACGGTGCCGTAAGCCCAAATCCCGAATCCCATCCCTTCTCTCCCTGCGGTTATGTGTAACCAACCGTATGGCCAATAAGAGGAGAGGCTTTCCATCACTTGACGGACCGCCCTATCAGATGTCAAACGGGCACATGCTGACTTGCGTCTTGTCCTCACCGCTGGCGCGGCGTACGCCGGGCACGGTGCCACGACGCGGGCGCCCCCGTGCGTTGGAAGTGGTAACGGCTCTTACACGGGTAGAGCGCGCGTGTGGCTTCTCCTGCTTCTTGCTGCTTGCTCTGCTGCGCGCTGGGCTTGCTCCGAGGTGCAGCGTTGCTATTCCCCGTCATATCCGAGCCGCGGAGTTTGGTCGGCGATGGGTGGTGGGGATTTGCCGAGACGCGAGCGGAAGGCATATTTCGGGGTGCACCGAGACACGCCGCCTGCAACCCTTACGCGGCAGGTTATGTAGTGTATGCTATGCAAGTGGAAACTCCACCGTCACGCGTGGTTCGTGGTGACGATGCCTCGACCGACGATGTTGTCCCCTCACTTCGGCCGGCCTGGCCTGGTTGAGTCGGTCCTCACGGGATTCCCGCTTGACGCTGAGTAACTTTAATAATATGAACAACGGCTTGCGGTGAGAACCGGGCAGGTCTTTCAAACCCCCCCCCCCCCCCCCCCCCCCCCCAGGACGGAAAATTGCAAGGGAATAAAAGCAAAAACTGTTCATTCTTTCAGGCTCGACGACATGCCTGCTTCATATCGGGTGTTGTCCCGCCCTTCCAGCGTGCTTCGACCTAGCGGAATCCCGCTTCCTCAAACCCGCTAGTATGATCCGTGCGTGGATTCTCATTCTAGCGTGCTTCTAGCGTGGTATCCAGTCGACAGGGGTCATGATTTTCAACACGCGTGGGTCGTTGGTTGATTTACAGGTACAATGCCCAACGTACAGGGTAATGGGACCCGTAGGGTGGAAAGGGGCGGAAGCTCTCGCCAGGGCTGGTGTGCGGCAGGGCTCATGGCTGTCAGAGAACAGGCACGCATCCAACCAGAGGGCAGGCACCTGGGAAGGAGAGAGAGCGGACCACGCGAGGAGTATTTCTTCTCTTTCGTCCCCATCCCCCCTTGGGCACGGCACCTCGCTACATCAGGCATTTGTTTGGGCAGGATTCCCATGTTTTTGCTTCCCGGGCCACGGCCCAAGAGATGCGCCAAGTGGGTTTGTTGTTGTATTGTAATTACTTTGTATTTTGCCTCTTTCCTTCTTTGGAAGACGGAGAAAATTTTCACTCCTCGCAGCACAGGCGGTTTCCTCGCGTTTTGACGTCAGTGTACGAGCCGCTCTGCGTGGCCGATCGTCAAACGGGTCCTCGTTGTGTGGGTCTTTTCTTTGGCCATTGTGGATATATCGGAGAAAAATGAAAGAGAAAAAAAATCAGTAATTTTTCTTCATCATCTCCGCTTCTCGTTGGTCCGCAATGCTCTACCCCCCCCTCCACGGGTTGTGGACCATCATGTTCTAGACGGGACTCACAAGACTCTCTGTCTGCACTACGACTGCACTACATCGTACACCCACGTGGAGAGGTATCCAGAGATGACAAACTCTTGCAGGAGGCGTGGGCGTAGTATACAGCTCGAAGGGAAGGCGGTCCCCTCTTCTTGGGACGGGATTGCCTGTACGGATGATCCGTGTGATGGCACTGTGACCATGATGAGATTTTTTTCCCAACGGAGAGACAACCGGACAGAAACTGGCGCCGAGATTACTGGCCCCAGTCACGCTAGGGCCTCTTTGAGACCGTCACGCTTGATGCATCTCAGAGCCTTGCGATGGGGTTCGGAGACTTGACAGGTCGCCCATTCGTGGCTCCGGGGTGCGTGTACAATATGTGTTCTGGAACCCCGGTATTTCGACTCAACCGCGTCGCAAACCCTGGGCAGTCCGAACTACACTAGTGAGCTGAACCTCATTTGAATGTCGTCGGATCGACCACATGAGCTGGAGACGAATCTGCAGCCCGCGCGGCTCGAGCTATCGAGGAGGCGGGATACGAACAAAAAGCAATAAAGAGCAGACGTGCTCTGCACGTCTCACAAGGCCTGCAACATTTACCGACGCACCTTCCTCGCCGCCGAGACCTGCATTTGACGTGAGGAGGCAGCATGCTTCTACTGCTGTGTGAGAGGTCCGACTTTGGCTTGGCCCCCCAGCTGACTGAGCTCAGCTTGCCGGATCAGGGGGATGCGGATTGGTCGGTCTGTACCGGCAACCTGGGCCAGGTTTTTCTTTTCTCAACATCCGAGACACCCAGCTTTCTCCTAAGACGCCCCCCTTCTTTGGATCAAACATGTCTCCAAGAGGAGTCGGGGGCCGCGCCGCACATACGAAGACACAATGTTATCTCGGCGGGTATTTGAGAAACAACCCAAAAAAAGGAACATCTAGAAAGAAGAAATAAACACAGCAGCGTCACATGAGTTATTCCCTTCGTCGTAGACTTCTCAATACGCAAAACAGGTTCCGTGCCTGGTTCCAGGTCGACGAGCTTGTCATGTCTCACTGCGGCGGCGCCCCTTGCTTGTTCCCCAAGAGGGAGCCGGATCCCCTGCCGTACATGTTTTCCTGGTTCTCGGGACCACTGCTTGGCATGGTGTGCTGGCTCTGTCTCGGTGTAAGCTTACTCTGCGGCCCCTTCCAAGTGAGGCGGCTGGTGAGCGCTATCTCTGCCCAGCCGCATCGGCTGAGAGGGATTGTGGCGTGGTCCTCGACTTGTGCCAGCACTTTGGAATGCCTCGCTTACTGGCCACTTCAAGCCGGGGCTCACCTCCTGTTGCCTGCCAAATATGCTGGGCTGAGTGTTTACGGAGGCCTGTAGAAACGCAGGCGGTGATGCCTGGATAAGTAAATGCCTCTGTTACGTTGGCCAACCCAGGTTTCGGTGGTTAGGCGGCTGGCTCACCCTTTCTTGTGGACGACCGGTCAGACCAGCCCAGCGGCGGCTCAAGTAGTGGTTTTTTGGTGGACGTCGTGAGAGGGGATTATGCTCTTTAGATAGAGCTACGTAGTTTTCATGGTCAAGTAATCTGGAAAAAAGCCGACACCAGGCCGTGAAGAACTGGAAAGATGAGACGACTTGAAAACAGTTGTTTGGAGACGTCCGGAAAGTTGTAACAGGTCATTTACTCATCCACCGCTATGCCCTGGTCTTTGACTGAGGGTCTCTCGCCGTCCTCTTAGGTTCACCCATCGCCAGTGTCTACCCAGATGACCCATTTCCTTTGGTTTCTACCTTGCGATGATCCCTTTAGAAACCGTTTTCCAAGCCGTGCCATCCAGTCGGGTTACCCAGAAATCTTGCTTCGTCGTCACTGACTCCACCGTGGCCTCGGTGTACCCATCCGGCAGTGGCTTCGCCGAAGGGCAAATGCCAGAGTTGGTAGCTCATCATTTCAAGAAGAACACTGGGTGTACTCGGTTAAGATGAGGCATATACACGCCCTTTCTTAATCCACCAAAGCCGATGGCGATCCTGTGATCTATACTCTGGTTGCACAGCTTCAACCATTCGAATGCAAGCTACCCGTGCCGCCGCCTCCCACTCCCCTGGAGTACTTGCTCACCGATGTACAAACCGGAAATCTGGTCAAATCAGAAAAGGAACGCGGATCAAACACTCGGTGTGAGGACTCTTCAGAATACGTGACCAATCATGTCCGGGGCGCTTGTTAATTCTACCTCGACACAGCATAGCGACTCTTGGCTCGGATCCGGTGCCCGTATTGATAAAGTGCGTACGGTATCGGCGCAAGCACGGCTGATATACAGGCGAGAATCGTCAGCGCATAGTGCGTGCCAAGGTTCTCATAAAAGGGTATCCCGGCCGCGGTGATCCCTCCGGCCACCACATATCTGATGAGAGCGACGAACGTAAGAGCCGACGCCGAGTATATCTCGTACGAATCGATGATATACATGTACACGCATATGAAAATGCCTGTCACGCCGTAGCCGAAGGCAACAACCGCGAAGATGGCGGACCAGATGCTGATGCTGGCGTAATTGGTCCAGCCCAGCCAGAAAAGGGAGACCGGGACGGAGACGGCAGCGCCAAACATGGCGTACCAGAGGCGAATCTCCGGCTTGAACGCTGTGCCTTCCCCGCAGTCCTTCACCCGATTTACCGTCATCGAGTATATAAGCGGTACGAAGGCGAAGTTGACTTGGGTCCCGACGAACATGGCGATGAAGATGATGTTCGCGAGGCCTTGATCGAGGCCATAGGTGTATTCAAAGATGTAGGGCCATCCGACGAGGAACGTGAAGAGGACGATGTAGACAACGGTTATGTACAACGTCATGGCCATGATTATGGGCTCCGTGAGCATGAGGAAGGGCCTCGTCATGCTGGTCTTGAGACGGGTGAAGAGCGTAGCGTCAACGATCTCGTGTTCGGAGCGGAACCGGTCGTCGCCAGTGATGCGCCGGTAATGAGCGGCCTTCCACTGCAAAAGCAGCGGACCGTAGGTCTCCGGCATGCAGAGCAGGACCAGGGCCAAGACGAGGCCCGCGGATACCAGTACCGTCCACTCGGTCCACCGCCAGCTCACGGCTTCGGAAGGGCCGATGTAGGCGCCCATCACGGCACCGATCATCGGTCCGCCAAAACATGTGATGGCGTACAGCGGGAAGCTCCACGTCTTCTCGAGGCGGTCGTACATGTCGGCGATCGAGCCACCCGAGCAGACGAGCGGCGTCGAGGCGGAGCATCCGGCCAGGAAGCGGAAGGCGATCTGGGCGCCGAAGTTGGGCGCGAGGCCGGACGCCATGATCCAGACCATGAAGACGGCCATCGAGCCGCCGTAGACGGCATTGCGGCCAAAGGTTTCCGAAAAGGGCCCGGCCACGAGCGACCCGAGGCCCATGCCCACGAGATACAGCCCTCGAGTCCAAACGTCAGCGGGGGGACAGACAGACGGCAATTGCGACGAGCGACCGACCCAGCGAACATACCTGTGGCCAGCGACTCGGCAACCTCGCTGACGCCCAGCGCCCTCGCGGCTTGCGGAAGCACCGTTGCGTCGATACCCGACGCGGCTCCGACAAAGAGCGCGATCATGGAGATCTGCAGCGTGGCGCCGATGCGCTTGACGGTCGGCCAGTTGTGCGGGTCCAGGGGGTCATCCGGTCCCGCCCAGCCGACGACGAAGACGCGGCCCCCGTGCCCCTCGGCCCCGGTGCGGTCCCGGACATGGATGCCGGTCATGATCCGGCCGAGGGCTGTGCCTTCGGAGTGCCCGGTCCGCGCCGTCTGGCATCGCTCGAGAGGCTCCGAGGCTCCGGGTCGTTGTTCTCGGGCTTCCGTATCGACGGCGTTATGCGGCCCTGACAAGGGGCTTTGCCTCTTCCCCTCCCGCGCCGTGTAATCTCCTACTTCTTCCTCTCCCCCACCTGGGTGCACTCCATCTTGTGGCCGGCTTGGCGAGCTGGATGACCGGACTTTTCCAATGTCTCGGTCGATTTGCGCCTGAGCTTCTGCACCCGCGCGCCGGTACTGCAAGAAAGATTGCATCTTTTCCGGTGCGTTTTTCTAGACGGCTGCGCCGATAAATCCTACACCTGCCATGCGTGCCAAACAGGTGTGAAGTTACTTTAGGACTAAAAGTTTCAGAGCGGCGCGGAGGGGAGACCGAGTCATTGAAGCCGGAAAACCTGATACATGACTTCATACTTGCTATGTCTTCTTCTTACCTTGCTAGCCGTCTCGCCCCGGCTTATTCCCATGGACTGAAATCAACAGCCCCGGTCGATGACGGTGTCAATCCCGAGTGAGCACTGAGACTAGTGTCATCGGGTCCGCTGGCGATCTCGGATTTAGGCCAACATTAAGTGCTTATCGGCGACACAGTTGTTTTCCCTCCGTTTTCTTCGAGTTTCTCATTGCGGAGACGGGAGAGTGGCGGCAGACCATATCTGCTGGGGTCGTTGTGTTACGGCGGACACACTGCACCTGTGTACTTGGTTCCTCTTTTTCTAGCCTCTACCCTAGTGTCTTTTCAAAGCAAGTCAGTTAGTCCGATCTCGTTTTCAGTACTTACAACACCAGTACCATAGGTACTCGGCGAGAACCTGGAATAAAACCACAAGGAGTTACTTCTACCCTCTGGTATTAAAGCCCAGGCGTGTCAATATCAACCACATATGTCATATTTGGGGTCAATAAGAGCGGTCTGGCACTCTGTCGAAGCGGCTGCTCCGCACTTGTGGAACGGGCCGATACTTTATAACGCTCGGCAATCTGAGCCGACAACAGTTCCGGAGCCCACGAACGTTAGGGACAAGTTTGCGACTCGAAATTCGCCGAGAATGATAAAAAGTTGCTACAGGAGCGAGAACATGCAATACTTCAACCCAGCCTATCAACCTGGCTGGCTTCCCTTGCATGCTTTCCTCGTCGCATTTGACTCCTCCTGGACCTCATGTAGCCCACCAACCCAATAATCGGTGACACGGGACGACGCTGCTCTGAATACCTCATATAATTCCCGTTGATGGCCCAATCGTTTGTTGTACTCCCTTTCAAAAGAGAAGTTGACTGGGTAAGTCTAAAGATGTTTGCCGCCGTACTATTCTCCAGGTGTGCCGCTAGATAAGGTCCCCAGGAGATCATCAGCTTCGTAGGTAGAGAAGGGAGTATAATAGAAACGCATCCTACTACTCCCCAGTCTCGAGAGACCTTAGCCGGCTCCATCCAACCCATAAAGAGCGGCGTATATTGGTGCCAGATGGTGTGGGCCACAATGTGCGGAATTCCCGCTGGCTCTGCGCTTTTCACGGAAGTTTCCCAGCATCATTCGAATGGCTGCGCCTACAGCCTGATTTAGGAGACACGAGTATAAGGGTATGGGTACCCGGGCGTTGGTAGCCTGTAGATCCTCTGTGTGGTCGGTAGTAGAAAGATCGAGCCAGTCATCAAGGTCGACATCCACCAGTGCGGTCTTTATAAGGGCTGCTTCTCCCCGCGGGGGAATTATGGTGCGCTGATATAATGCTCGTCCGTAGTAGCGTTAAACCGTCGTTCAGAAAAAGAGTCGTTGGCCACATTTTGCAAATCATAATGAAGCACCCTGATCTTGTAGCTGAGAACGGGATCGCCACGAGCCCTTGGGATTGTGAGCTGTGTGGATGCCGAGAGTGTCGTTAGATGGAACGCTCGGTCGTTTCTCATAGATTTCCTGGCCTTTCTTTTCCGCATGTTTGAATAATTAAGAGCTTTCCTTGTCAGTGGCAGGTGTACGATATTCACCGGAGGAAGCGATGAAATTCAAGAAGGAGGAAGAAGGGTCTTGGTCATAGCAGAGCTGTCAGTTGAAGTAAAAATATAGGCAAAACCAAACCATTTGTTTGAGAACAATGTCAAAGACCGTATCAGAGAAATGCATGCTATTAAACCTCATCTCAGTTGATTCTACAATTTGCGGTGGCTCTTTAGAGGACCTTGAGAACCACCTGGGCCACAACAAGACAAATACAAATGAGGATGATAAAGATCTGCAGCGACCCTGCCTTCAGTGACGTCTTCGAAAGAGAGAAGATTGCATAATTGTGCTCTTTTGAGATTCGGCCGATACTCTTACCAAATGGACTGCCTATGGACTTTCGTCGTGATATCTCTATCAGAAAACCGAGAGACAAGGAAGTGAGTAAGTCCCCAATAGGTGCTTCTGATTATGTTCATTCCGGGCCTGGCAGCACTAGGCCGACCTACTCTCGTCTACATAATTGATCTATATCATGATTCTAGTCCGTACGCAGTCCATCTCAGTTCTTTCCGCGTATGTAATTGCCAATAAACTCTTCCAGATCCTCCTGCGGCAAGGCTAGTCTCTCATTCCAAAGTCCCTTCGTGTTCGAGAAGTAAGCCAGCCCCCCCTTTCCGTATAAGGCTCCGGCAATCATCGCTAGGATGCCGAGTGGCTGGCCCTGCTCCAGCTGTGCGGCCCCCCCTTGCCACAACTCCTCCACGGAACCCTGCGAGACCACGAACTTGTCGCCCGTCGCCTTCTCTAGGGCCGACAGAACCTTGTTCTGCGTGACCGTGAAGCTGTTCACGTAGACGTGTTGGTTTCGCGTGAGCTTCGGCTTCTTCAAGGTCTTGGCGATGGCCTTGCCGACCTGGTCCAGGTTCGTGGCGTCATAGGGGATATCGCCGCCGTCAAAGATGGTGACGGTCCGGGCGGCCACGTCCAAGCCCCCGAAGCCTGGCAATTTCAGCCCCCAGTCGAAGATGGCCCCCGTGACGATGGCCGTCCACGATATCTTGTCCTGCCTCTCCTTGAGGTACTCGACCACCTGGATCTTTTCAGCGAGGGCCGGGACGTACTTGGGCGCGGTGCCGTCCGCGGTGTCGATCCCGTACTCGGAGGGCACGAAGACCTTGACCCCCGCCGCGATGGCCGCGTCGACCAGGTTCTTTTGGAGCATCAGAGCGTCGGATTGAGAACTGGTGACTGCGCTGACGACAGCATCCTGGTTCCTGAAGGCTTCGAGAAGGGACTCCTTTGAGAAGTCGGTCGTGAGGTGCCTCACGCCTTCAGGCAAGGTGGCCGAGGACGACTGTCGAGTCAGCCCAGTGACCTGGAAATCTTCTTCGAGCAGAGCCTTGACTGTTGGTCCGCCGACACTTCCACTTGCTCCAACGACTAACACATTCTTGATATGAGACAGGGCCATGATGGGCTTTGGTGGTGGTTGGGGTGACGGTTGGATTTTGCTAGCATTGTTCGCGAGGTTATTGTTTTACATCGAAACCACATCTTCATTCCCACCAGTCACCTTTACTTATATTCTATGCCTTGGTGAGAGATCGAACGGCAATGAAGCCATTGTAAGTGTACCTTTGTAAGCAGCGTTGCTGATTATGGGAAGTTTTTATGGATTAGTGAACATTTCCTAGCGCAGACGTTGCTTAGTGGTGCCGCACCCATATCTGGCCAAGCGCTGTCATCTCCTGCAACCGTTCTGTCAGTTGATTTGTTCTCGCATTGTCTCAAATTGGCTATATTACTCTCGGCATTGCGCCATATTCCCGTACGTTGATAGATCTCACAGACTGCAGGTGGAATATATCCAATCCTACGCTAATGTAGCCATGATTACTGATATGGACGATTATACCAGGCTACGACCGACACGGCATCAAATCCATGATGCATCCTCGGGTGGTATAGACACAGGTAGCCTATTGCGATTTTGCAATTACCTATAGTCTCATCATCTGCTCTTTCAACTCGGACACAGGAAATACCTCAAAGCTACCAATACGTTCGCAGACATGGCAATTCAGGTCGCAGTCTATTTATGCCGTCCAATCCCAACCGGGCTGGTCTCGCCCGACCCATCGTCCAAAGACTCGGGCTACTGGTCACCGCTCTGCTGCACGCTGATATACACCCCCACCACCGCCGTTCTGGTGGACTGTCCTCCGAGCGTGGATGCGACAAATGAGCTGGCATCGTGGGTTCGGTCTATACTGCCACCTGGTTGTGTCCTGAAGCACTTCGTCGCATCGCATGCCCACGGAGATCACTTTTTTGGGTTCCCTGTCCTGAAGACTACCTTCCCAAGCGTCACGGCCACCGGAACCAAGAGCGTTGTCGAGGGTATTGCGCAGCAATACTCTGCCCAAACCTACAAGGAGATGTGGGAGGGGACTTTCCCTCCCAGCAAAACAGCAGGCACTGGCATGCCCGAGGCGAAGGCCGAGTTCGTGTCCCTGCCACCGTCTAACAAAATTGACCTGGACGGCCACCTCGTCAAGGCCTACGACGTGCCGCACGGAGATACGCATGCCAACTCCTACCTCCACGTGCCCGACCTAGGGCTCGTTGTCGCGAGTGACATTGTATATAACGGCGACTGTCACCAGTGGCTCGGCGAGGCGGACACGCAAGAAAAACGGGATGGATGGATGGAGGCCGTGGCGCAGATTGAGGCGCTGAAGCCGCGGATGGTCGTCCCCGGGCATACGTTCGAGCCCATGTCGGAGCCAGATGAGGTGGTTGTGATGTCGATGCTCAAAGGCACGAAGGACTACATCAAGGGTTTCGAGGAGGAACTGAAGAAGGCAGGAAGCGAGGACGAGTTGTTTAATGCAATGAGGAACCGCTTCTCGAGATGGAACCTGTGGATCCTGAGCGCGGGATGTCGCGTTGGGATCCTATCCAAGCAGTCTACAAGTGCCGCAGGGCGCGAGTAGTCAGCCACTCATTGTCTTGGTGGACGTAAGGGTTGATCCTCTTCCTAAGGCGTCCAAGTGACGAGAAAGAAGCTAGGCCCTCACACTTTTGTTCGCGAAACAACACCACTGGTACAATAGCAAACTCTCCTATCCCGCAGTCTCCATTCGTGACATGGTGGTCCCGGCCGCAAAGCCGCTGTCGGGAGGTCGCAAAAAGCCAATGAAATGATGTAGGTCAGCCCGAAGAATAGTTTCTCTTGGGGATGGAGTGCCATGTCCGAGAAAAGACACGGGTGACGAGTAAGACTCCGAGACAGGCGCCGGCAATTGTAGTCAGTAAAGGTGACTGGTCCCTTTCTGATGTAACGGCGCGCTGCACGAGAGCGGGATTAACGCAAATGGTAGGGTGTTTTGGTAAGCGGCATAACAATACAGCTTCACGAACTCCTTTTTGTTGATAAATCCGTGTTGCGTGCAAGACGTTTAGATGACAGCGGTGGCCAAGGTGCTGAGGTCAGGTCCCCCGCACTTCATTGGTCGCGCCCCTCCGCCGCTGGCAGGGTCCGTCCCCGTTGGTGGGGTGCTAGGAGAGTGTTTGCGCAGGAGCAAACCCCCCACCATCACCTACGAGCTCATTTTTCATCGCATCATCCCCGAGGTCCGCGCAGCCAAGATGGGCAAGAACGACAAGAAGCCTGCAGACAAGAAGGACGCCGGTAAGTCCGCCGGTGGCAAGAAGGGAGGCAAGGGCGAGGGCGACGACAAGGGCGGTAAGGCGGCCAAGGGCGCTCAGTCCATCAACGTCCGGCACATCCTGGTGAGGATAGTCCCTTTACTGAAGACTTAACGAGAAAGCAGTCTGACAAGCGTTTCCCAGTGCGAGAAGCATGCAAAGAAGGAGGAGGCCCTGGCCAAGCTGAGAGACGGAACCAAATTCGATGAAGTTGCGAGAGAGTTCTCCGAGGACAAGGCGAGGCAAGGTGAGCATCAACAGGGAACTAACTCGTTGGAGGATGAGGGCACAGCACGGCACGGCATGCTGATGGTCGCACAGGCGGCTCCCTTGGCTGGAAGACGAAGGGCAGTCTGGATCCCAAGTTTGAGGACGTTGCCTTTGCCCTGAGCACGAGCACGACTGCGAGTCCGGTTTACGGCGAGGCCAAGACTGAGTTCGGTTACCACATCATCATGGTGAGCATCGGCGACAACAGCCACGGGACCCCACAACGCACACTAACCCGAGCCTAGGTCGAGGGAAGGAAATGAGCGATGACGATTCTGGTCTCGTCCATAGCATCATCAAGTCACATATTCGCGTTCCAATGGTTGAAGATGGTTCAAGAGTGCCCAATGCCGTTTCTCCTTTTATTTGCCATCATGTAAGATAACCCGACTTCCAGAGGGAGTCCTCCATTTTTTTGTTTCCAGATGCCAACTGAAGAAGTTAGAGTACAACCGAAAATTCGTTCGTAAGCAGCGGTTCCAAGTAGATTCCCCGCCAACCCTCTATTTCCTTCTCCCCTCAAGTGACGCCCAAATTCAAATCATGAAGCATTCCCGAATTTACTGCTCGGTCTGGAAGTAGTTGAGGAGGATGGAACGCTCCTGGGACTCTTCACCCCAGTCCTTGACGACGACGCAAGAGCAGTTGACGACCTTGCGGGCGTTGCCCTCACGGTCGAGAACGCCTGTCTGTGGTTAGCCATAGTCCGCCGGCCTCTCAGCAATACACCCTGGTTAGTACTCACAGAGACCAGCCCACTCGCCGAGCTGCTTGCCGTCGGGCACCTTGATCAGGGGAATCTTGTGCTCGGAGCAGAGGGCGATGACGAGCTTCTTGTAGGCCTCCTCCTCGCACGCCTCGTTGAGGACGCACATGTGGGCCTGGCGGCGGTCGAGAGCCTTGGAGGCTTCGCGGAGACCGCGGGCGAGACCGTCGTGCATGAGAGCGAGCTTCAGGACACCCTTGAGGGCGTCAAGAACGGACATCTGGCCCTTGGAGCCAGCATCGGCGGAAACCTCAACCTCCTCGGCCACCTCGGGGGCGTTGTTCTCTTCTACGTCCGACTGTGGGAAGCGCGCAGTTAGCGAGGCTGGTTCTCGAAGACCCAAAGCGTCGTGTGCCCGTCCTCTTCACAGAGGAGGGGGGAAAGGTCCAATTGGACCTATTGCGCGCTCTCGCAAAATTTCGCGCCGCCCGCCATGTCCAAAATGGATTGGGGGTATTTAGGCGGGCAACATGGAAATCCGGCTCGGCTGGGGATGTCGCAAGGGTGCGCGGCGCAAACTCACCATCTTGAAAGTTTTGCGGTCAAGTTCCTGTCGGTTCGATCCTCGAAGAGTGGTGTTTTGTAGTTATATGTGTAGTGTAGAATAAAGTGAACTTTTTTGTCGCGGTAAGGCGAAAGACCAAGGTTCCGTTCGTTTGTGTGCCAGAGATCATTGGCTGGAGGGTGGGGTCGACAGGGCAAATTTCGGCACGCGCACGGACCACCCACAAGGCCGAATTTGATTTTCGGCCACATTTTTCCGCATAGACGGACGGCATAGAAAAAAACAATTGCCCGCCCTCGTTCTTCCACTTTCACTCCCTGACTGACAAGCTTGCCAATCCACCCTTCATCGTCACCGTTCATTCCACGAGGTAAGTGGGAAAGAAAGAAAAAAAACATGTGCACCATCATGGTAGCTTGATCCAAGCAGGAACTCTTGCCTTTTCCTTGATGCCGGAGGAGAGCAATCAGACGAGTCGTGTGCGAAATGCCGAGAATGCGACTATTTTGTTCCGATCTCGATGTTGCCGACCGGGCGACCGCTCTGCTCTACGCCGCCGTCGACGATGATCTCTGATACGCTCTCCTCTTCAGCAACGAGCTGGCAGAACCCTCCTCTTGGTCGATGCTCGCCTGGGAGGGCACTCTCCACGCTCACTAGGCCTCGGAAGGCTAACATGCACCGTTTTTCTCTGGCAGATACCTCATTTCCCGAGACTTGAGAATCTCCGTATTCACCAACCGTCAAGATGGTCCGCACTTCCGTCCTCCACGATGCCCTCAAGAGCATGAACAACGCCGAGAAGGCCGGCAAGCGCCAGGTCCTCATCCGCCCTAGCTCCAAGGTCATCATCAAGTTCCTTAGCGTCATGCAGCGTCACGGTATGTAGAGGCATCTGCCACACCCCTTTACTTTTTTTCTCTCTCTTCCTTATTGGGCACTTGGGGGAAATGTACATTCGGCATGATAACTAGGGCGAACGTCTCTCTCTTCCCCACGACTCAGCCCCTATAAATTGCCGATAGATCAAACTGCGGAGGTCTTACAACTTTTTCGGATTATAATTGTGATGTCTAAGCTTTAAACCGCCGCAACAGCATGCTGATAAGTTTTATTCAGGTTACATCGGCGAGTACGAGTACATTGATGACCACCGCTCTGGCAAGATCGTCGTCCAGCTCAACGGCCGCCTGAACAAGTGCGGTGTTATCTCTCCCCGCTACAACGTCCGCCTCGCCGACCTCGAGAAGTGGGTTGTCAAGCTGCTCCCTGCCCGTCAGTTCGGCTACGTCGTTCTCACCACCTCCGCCGGTATCATGGACCACGAGGAGGCTCGCCGCAAGCACGTGGCCGGCAAGGTCATCGGTTTCTTCTACTAAGCGAGGAAGTCGGAACCAAAAAAAACAAAAGTCTTTTTTTTAACATGGAGAAAAAAAGGGTCATGGGGCATTTGGAGTTTGAGGGGGCTAATTGGGGTAGCCGTGGCCGATACCAGTGGGATGCCATTGAGCTAGGATCTCATTTACACCAAAAGCAATGAATGAACTTAAGCAAGACCCCGCCAATACGATCCAGTCTCTCATGTATCAACTCTGTTTCTGTACTGTTCGGATACCGTGTGACTGTGAAGTGTGCCAGCCATCATGAGCCAACCAACATTCTCCGAAAAGGTGCCAACCGCCCTGCGCAGGCCGACCAGGCTGAAGTCTCTTCTCAGCGCTTCGGCAGGCTGATGTAGAGACTTCACCAACATAGTGGGTAGGCGAGCATGTTGAGTCCTAGGTTTGTCTAATTAAGTTCGTCGCCTCAACGCTATCATCAGTGGCGTTGCTATCGCCGTCGAAGCGGAGCGTCGTGGTCTACAAATGGCCCCATCTCGTCACGAAGCGGCTCTCGAGACGCACCCTTATCTGTTAAGCCGCAGCCAACTCGTACCGACGGTCGAGAAGCACGAATGTGATTCCTGCCAGTGTTTATTTGGACGATACAGTTCGCGCCTGAACAAGGGGGGGGGGGGGGGGGGGGGGGGGGGGGTTGGCTCGAGCCTACTTGTTATAGACAAAATGGCTTTCGTGCGGATGGGTAACAAGCGCGCCAAGCCACACAACTGGTCTCGCGTTAAAATAATCTCGATGCCATCTTAAGACAGTTCGACGACGAAACATCTCACGAACCATCGGAGCCTGATCACAGAAGTAAATTCTGGACTTCCAAGATGCATGTGATGCGATGGCATGATGTCTGTTGCGGCAGGCTAGCCATAGCTCACTGTGATGGATCGAATGTTGCCCGACTCTACTGACGAGCTTGGTGTGACGCTATCACACCCGTTGAATCCGTTCATACCTTCCACTCAAGATACCGACGACGGATTCCAATGGTATCTGCCGGGCTCGGCTCAATCTGGATACCACCCGCACGTGCAGCCCAGCCATGCACCTCGATGGCTTCGACCCCGACAGGCTGTCCCGGAAGGTCTCGTTTCTGTATAGGACCCACAAATCGGCCGCGACTCGGCACATATTCGGAGCAGAGGCCCACTGGCAAGGCAAGGCGAACCGGGGCCTCTCCCGACGTCAGCATTTCCTCATCGCTTACATTTGACGAAAGGTGCCCGGGCAGAGCGGTAAACAGTTCCCCCCTCCTTATTGGCTTGGCTTGGCAAATCCCCGTGAGGCTTGCTTTTTTTCTTTCTTTCTTTTTTTTTTTTTTTTTTTTTTTTGCGAAATCGGCACCTCTTGACACACCGGGCGGCGGCAAGCGGTCTCGGTTCAAGGTGGAAGAAGCAATCCCGCGGGAGCTAGTGACCTGTTTCCCCGCCATTCTGCAATGTTTGGGGTGTGGAAGCCGGCACTCGGGTGGCAGAAAACAGAATACTTTTTGGTGGTGGTTGTGGAATAAGATGTCCCCCTTTTTTGTCGCCCGAGTTGCCGGCTAGATCGAGGAGGTCGGGCTAGGCGAACCTTGGCTCGCCAAAGCGCTGTGAAGGGCGGCATCACACGTCTATAAATAAGAACAGAGGAGGGGGTATATCCAGAGTTACATTCAATTACGGTGCGATGACATACATGTTTGCAATTGCGATTGCGATTGCTGCCAGCGCACAAGTCATGTCGTTTGCTGTTCCGGCATCCGTGATTGGCAGGTCGTACATGATCGGGCGGCCGCCTGTCATCCCTAGTAAATGCAAGCAAGGAAGCGCTGGTCAACCACTCGAACTTCGACGATATCTCCAAGACGGTTGTACGTACACAGTAGGTACCATGATAGTTTATTTATGCGAACTATCCGTATCCGTAGACCACATTACACTTCCAGCCCCTCAGCGAACCGCTAGGCTGCAGTAGCCGCCCCCCTCGCAACTTTTCTCGGATTCGTTAACTTTCGTCCCAATCTCCAAGGCGTTAAGGCGGTTTGTGGCTTCCAACGTTATCTGGACTACTGGAGCACACTAGGCTGTCTACAACAGGTCGAGCCGGGATTCGCCCTGGGGGGGGAGAGGCTAATAGCAACAGGGTTATCGTGTGCGTTACTTTCCTTGTGTGTACCAAAACAACCACGGCGTGCAAGCCAAGTCACATTGTTTGCGCCTGTTGGTGCACAGAATGAGTGGCTTCAACGTCCATGTCTGATGATCCCGCCTCTCCTCCCGCCGCCGCCGCCCGGAGAAGCGCCGATCCGTCCCTTTGTGTCAGAACGAGAAGGCGGTTCCTGGTCGTTTGCCTCCTGCCTGTTGATAAGAAACGAAAAGAACCATCCGGCAATGTCCTCATCCCATCCAGGGTATCATTCCGATACGGTACCTTGACCCTGCCTCCCGTCCATCTAGCCTAGACGAACCCCGACCCCGGGACACTCGTCAAGGAGCGGTAATTGGTTGGGTGCAAGGCTGCGTTGTAACCATCCCTTTGTCACACCCGAACCCCCCGACCACGGACCTTCGCTTCAACTGATATGATTTGTATTACCGTGGTGTACCAAGTACAGGGCCCGTTTCTTCCCTTCCTCCTGGTTGATCACCGATGGCGCGGCCCCGCACGAACAGCCCCACGATGACGCGATGACTTGGCATTATCGAACCCTCATCAACCTCAACCTCTCACTCAGGCACATTCGCGCTCTTTTCCTCTCTCAACCCAAGCACCGGAGATTGGGTCTACATCCGAAATGTTTCGAGGAGGGCTCTTCGGAGAGGGGGACGTGCCATCTGAGCACAGATCGCCCGGTCTTGACCCAGAACGGGGTCTCTCAATCCCAACTCAGTTCGATAGCCACGCCTTTTTTTGTCATGGACGTGAGAGGGAGTATGGGAAAGCAACGCCGGTAAAATCGCCAAGGCTTGCTGCTCAAGGTTTGATGCTGCCGAACGCATGTAACCGTGATATGCTGGATGCCCAGCCTCTCTCCCTCTTCCCTGTCCCTCTTTCTCTCTCTGCCGGCCCCCGCTTTCACCCCCCCCACATTAGTGAGCTGTCTAGCACTCGAAGAGTCTTATTTGGTCTGTGAGTGTTTTAGTAATGTACTCAGATATAAGTGGGCACATAACTAGTGCTAAAATATTATTGTGACTAGATTACGCTCTACTCCAAGTTGTTAGCATAACATACATGTACACCCTCCCAATTTTCATACTGCGGGTCAGGGGTTTGAATACGAACCCAGGTATGGGCAGTGAGCTCATGTATGATTCAATGTTGCGAGGGGATACGCCGTCGGTGGGTGGTCGGTTATCCCCCCCCCCCCCCCCCCCCCCCCCCGCCTGTCGCACAAATCCCACGAGACAGCGCGATTGCTTGCATGGTCTGCGTTTGCCTCGCATTGGGGTTGCTGGGTCAAAAGGAAGAAAGAAAAAAACAAAGAGAAAGAAAAAGGAAAGAAGGAAAGAAATGACAGGGAAAGAAAAAAGAAACGAGAAGATGCCCTTGAAGGAAGCGCCAGGCTCTTCTTGGGACACACAGACGTCTCATAAGCTTGGGTAGGTGACATCAGCTGCTTCCTTAGACAGCAGTAGATGTTGCTAGCTGCGATCTACGCAGCCATATCTACTTTACGCTCTGCATATGCATATTGCTCACTGACTGGTTCAGCTAGGCCCGTCCAATTGCTGTGATACCCACCCCATCACAGACCGAACTCTGGCACTTTTTAAGCTCCTCCAGCCCATGGTTGCTATTTAGATCGTTTCACATCGTGAACGACGGTAGAAGAAGAAGAAAACTAAAAAAAAAATGGGTGGGCTGAGTTGAAGGATGTTATTCGATATCCCAACCTCTAGCTAATACCTACACTACTGAGGTAGCTATCCACACTCTACCTACCTTGCTTTGTCATGTGGTTGCTTGGACATTGTAGATTGTTTCATCCTATTTGATCAAAGCTAGACTTATGCTCATGCGGAAAATGAGATCTTAGTAACTTTGGGTTGCTGGCTGACACCCCGTCGTAGAAGTAGGTATACATACCGTCCTCAACCTTCAGGCACATAATGCCGCCAAGTCGAGCGCCCCAGCGTACGGCATTGGACTCCCGGGAGTCGCGGACGCCTCCTGGATGAATCAAACGACGAATTGTGTAATCCGACAACGTTTGTACACACACCCTCTTCTCTGCTGTTTCTAGCGGTACTCCTGCTCCAACCCTCACCCACTATATCCTTGCGGAAGAGGGGAGGGGGGGGAGCGCGCAACCTCCTTGCCAAGTAGGTATACCTATCTATTGGCCAATGCAACGCGTTTGCGAGCAGAAGGCGATGCGATGCGCAGTGTTCGTCTCTGGTATGTGGATACGTTTCTGTTCTGGGCAGAAAGTACTATTGTGCTTCGGCTGGATGAAGTTCTCTCGCCCCTGGTCGCCGTCCAGTAGTAGTTATCCTTGAGCTTGTGCACAGATGCGCGTAGCTTTTTCTTTCTGATCCAGGTCTCTGCAGGGACCGTCGTCCCTTTTAGATCTGTATGTAGCTCGGCTGGAGCTCCGCCAGCCACGCAAACCTCTGATGTACATAAGTAGCCTCCCGTCTCTTGGGTCTTCCCATTCCCAACGGCCCTCGGTCATCCTCATTCCCTACCTATCCAAAGCAGAAGGATAAAGCTTGTTCGGTCTACCTAGTCCCATAACGCCCGGCAAGTGGTACATTCCAAGTAGTCAACACGGCGTTGCTGTCATAGCTTGTTCCAATATGCATACGACCCTCTTGCTGGCCGGTCTCAGCCTGGCAACTCTTTCTTCTGCGGGTTGTCCCTTTGCAGATCCCTCCAACATCAAAGCCCGAGCCGAAGGTGGCGGCTCCCGCTCGCATGTCGCGGCCAACGAAATCGACGACCTTTCGGGCGACCCGTTCCTCACATCCGACGTCGGCGGTCCCATAGGGGACCAGGTGAGCTTGAAGGCCGGCGTCCGAGGTTCGACTCTGCTCGAGGACTTCATCTTCCGCCAGAAGATTACCCACTTCGACCACGAGAGAGTACGTCGCGGGATACCCTCGCTCCCTTGACCATCCATCCTGATTGACCCTCTTTACCCCTAGGTGCCTGAGCGAGCCGTCCATGCCCGAGGTGCCGGTGCTTACGGCACCTTTACGAGCTACGGCGACTTCAGCAACCTCACTGCCGCTTATTTTCTGAGTGCCGCGGGCAAGAACACATCCACCTTTGTGCGGTTTTCTACCGTTGCTGGTTCCAGAGGAAGCTCCGATACGGCGAGAGATGTGCATGGCTTCGCCACTAGATTGTGGGTATTTGCTTGCGTGAGGTGCTGTAGCATGGACTGATGTTGACGACAGCTTCACCGACCAGGGAAACTTTGACATTGTGGGAAACAACATTCCCGTCTTTTTCATCCAGGACGCTATCCAGTTCCCAGACTTGGTCCACGCAGTGTAGGAGCTTATACGGCCCACCTCGCCCAGCCTAGACGTTAGCTCACAACATGACTCTCATAGGAAACCGCGCGGCGACAATGAGATCCCCCAGGCCGCCACGGCCCACGACTCTGCGTGGGACTTCTTCAGCTCTCAGACCAGCTCCCTTCACACCTTGTTCTGGGCGATGGCCGGCTACGGCATCCCGAGGAGCTATCGACACATGGTGGGTTCACTCCTCGCTCACTTCACCCCACATTGGCTAATGCTGTCAGGACGGCTTCGGCGTGCACACCTTCCGCATGGTAACGAACGACGGCAAATCCAAGCTCATCAAGTGGCACTGGAAGACGCTGCAGGGCAAGGCCAGCTTGGTCTGGGAGGAGGCTCAAATCGTTTCTGGAAAGAACGCCGACTACCACCGCCAGGATCTCTTTGACGCCATTGCATCGGGTAATGGCCCCGAGTGGGAGCTCGCAGTTCAGGTTATCGACGAGTCGGACGTTCTCAAGTTCGGTTTCGACCTCTTGGACCCCACCAAGATTGTGCCCGTGGAGCTCGCGCCCCTCCAGAAGCTTGGTAAGATGAAGCTGGATGCCAACCCTGTCAACTACTTTGCCGAGACTGAGCAGATCATGGTACGTCACCCTCCTCCCCCGAGCCTCGGACGCAACCGCAGCTGACCCGTGGCAGTTCCAACCCGGACACATCGTCAGGGGCATCGATTTCACCGAGGACCCCCTGCTGCAGGGCCGCATTTTCTCGTACCTAGACACTCAGCTCAACCGTCACGGCGGGCCCAACTTTGAGCAGCTGCCGATCAACCGCCCGGTCACACCCATCCACAACAACAACCGAGACGGCGCCGCCCAGAACTTCATCCATCGCAACCGAAACTCCTGTTCGTGGTCATTCCAAGCTCCCATCGGGCCTCGCTAACCGGGACAGACTTTCCAAACGCCCTGAACAAGAACGTACCTAAACAGGCGAGCCAGGCCGAAGGCAACGGTTTCTTCACGACGCCAGGGCGCGCCGTCGGCGGCACCCTGGTCCGCGACATCTCCGGCACTTTCGCGGACCACTGGTCCCAGCCGCGTCTCTTCTACAACTCCCTGACGCCCATCGAGCAGCAGTTCCTCGTCAATGCCATCCGCTTCGAGACCAGCCACATCGAGTCGCCCGACGTCAAGAACAACGTCGTCGTTCAGCTCAACAAGATCTCCAACGAGGTTGCAGGCCGCGTTGCTGACGCCCTGGGTATCGTAAAGCCGGCGCCCGACCCGCAGTTCTACAACAACAACACCACCCAAGGCATCACCATCTTCGGCGAGAAGCTGCCCACCATCGCCACTCTGAAGGTCGGTGTGCTAGCGAGTCTGGCGGCCGACGGCTCCGTGGTTCAGGGCAAGCAGTTGAAGGACGCCTTCGCCCCCAGCGGCGTCATAGTGACCATCGTCGGCGAGAGGTTGGGCAACGGCGTCGACATGACATACTCCCAGGCAGACGCCACCGCGTTTGACGGCATCATCGTCACCAATGGCGCGCAGGGCCTGTTTGACGGAACTATCAAGCCATCTGCGCTGTACCCGGCAGGCCGCCCGGCGCAGATGGTCATCGACTCGTATAGATGGGGCAAGCCCGTCGGCAGTATCGGCAAGCCCCTGCCCGATACGGCCGTGCTCGGGGTCAGGCCCGGCGCAGGCGTCTTTGCGTCCCCAGACATCAACGTGGTGGTAGCCGGTTTCAAGGATGGCCTGGCTACGTTCAGATTCACCGACCGCTTCGCGATGGACTAGGAGTGCTTTGCGTAGGCGGCGGATGTTGTTTCTCTTCGTGTTCATAGTTCATGCCAACGCCCGCACTCCCCTCTCTTCCTCCTCCCAGGTCGGTCACAAAAGACGAGCGATCAAAGTGTGAGTTTTTAGTTATCAATATGACAGATTTATTCCTCTTGTTTTGTCGTACTGCTCGGCAAGTAAGCGCCACGTGAGTTTGGTCCGAGCTGTCGGCTTGTTCTTCCGAAATGTGCGGGCTTCGTCGTATGCATGCGCGCGCCCACTTACACATCAACACCGAGGCAATGATCGAGAAAGAGGCGCGGGAGATGCTGCCAAGTCAATTCGTCATCTGTGGTACATGCAGCCAAAAAGAACGCCCGCCGCCCCACTGCCGCCGCCCTAGGTAGACAAGAAAAAAAAAGCAGAGAGGTATTTGGGAAAAGGGAGGGGGGTTGGGGTTCAAACACAAACGTCCTTTTTCTTCATTCCACCTGCGTTCACACTAGGTTGTTGTCTGCATGCCCCTGTCCTCGGACATGCCACAATTGTGACCAGTCCTCCTGTCCGTTGCCGTCGTTTCCTCTCTCTCTCCCTCTCTCTGCGCCTCTCAACGCATACCCAAACAACGCTACTCCCTACAGGCTGATCGTCCAATGTGCTTTCAGAGCGTATCGCGCAGGGGAGGTAAACCGTCGGGGGAGGAGGGAGAGGGGGGGGGGAATAAACCACACGAAAGAATTGAAAAGGTAGAGAAGAAAGCCAACATAGACTTGTACAATAAATAAGCCATTCTCGGGGCTCTGTAAACGCCAGTTCATTGGGAAATATCCCCTCCCCGGATGGCGGGGAAGGTTCCCGACCATGCATATAATAATAGTAAAGATAGAAAAAAAAAAGACAAAAACTTTACATCGTGCTGTCGTCGCTACCGTTGGCATTACCATTGCGTTTGGGGGATAAGCCCTTCCCAAGAACCAAAATCAACGCAGCCGGCCCTCCTCCTTTCGAGTCGTAATCATCATAGGCTTCGCGTTCCCTTTTGCCATGCCCTGGCACGCGGCGGTAGGTGACAGCAGCAGTGGTATAAAAGAAAGAGTAAAGGAGAGCGGCACAGCTATCTGCTTAGAGGTCTCGAGCTGGCCATCTCGCCGTACCGCCCACGGTGTTGGGTAGTGTCGTATGCTTGAAGTACCCTCGTCTGGCTCTCGTCTGCCTGGGAGAATGCGTAGCCGCGCTGCTTGCGCATGCGCTGAACTTGACGCACCTTGCGAATCGCCTTTTGGAATTGCTCCATTCTGGAATGCGTTAGCGGGTTACTGCGAGGAAGGTGACAGGGCGGGCGTCTGCATACCTTGGTCTGTAATCTTGAATGTTATACTTCTGGATCTCTTGAATGTGGTGGTACGTCTGCGGCATGTACATGCGCTTGGCGAACTTCCATGCAATGTCTCGCAGAAGACACATGATCGCCAGTGAGATGGTCTGCAACCAGAAAACGGGGCTGCTGTACAACTTGGGAATAACACCGTGGTACTCGGCCGAGAAGGGAATCATGGGCGCGACGGTACCGTAAAGGGCGATGAAGCCCCACCAGAACAGCATACTGCCGGGAATGGCGATGACGTGATACTTGGTCCAGTTGTTCGTGATCAGGGCCGCCTTGCCAAGGACGGTGAGAAGGACAGCAGCGTAGAGCGCCGTGCCCCAGACCCAGTGGCCAGCGATTTGCCCGTCGCCCTGGATCAGGTCGCCGTACCAGATGAGCTCGCCGAAGACGTAGAGGATGATGGAGTGGTAGACGGCGTTGGCAACCCACTCGGCGAAAATCTTGATCTTGAAGAACTGGTTCTGCTGGCCCATGGTGTACAGCTGCGGGTAGCGGTCGAGAAGCCTTGCCGAGATGAACTGGTCGAGAATGCCCAGGGCGAGGGGAGGCAAAACGGTGTAGAAGACGTTGTAGAAGGACAGCGTCCATGACTCGTAAATGACCGCACCAGAGAAGACGTTTTGGAAGGTGTACTGGTCGGGTTAGTAACACGAACTGCGTGGCAAGACTCTGGCAGACTTACCCAGAACTGCGTCATGTACAACGTGATGTTCTTGTAGAAGGAGAAGAGAATGGTCTTGGCAACGCGCTGGTAGCTCCAAGCGCCGTGCACCAACAGCAGCTTCCTGAGATACCGGAACTGGCCGATGGAGACGTCGGCGCTTCGGGCGGCCTGAAGACCCTCCATGCCGCTGATGCCGACACCGATGTGGGCGGCCTGGATCATGGAGACGTCGTTCGCGCCGTCGCCGATGGCGAGCAGGATGGACTCCTTCTGGTACTTCTTGACCAGCTTGACGACGAGAGCCTTCTGCAGGGGGGAGACACGGCAGCAGATGACGGCTTTGCACATGATGGCCAGGTCGAGGAACTGCTTTTCGAGGTCCTTCTCCAGGGCGTAGGTCAGGGACTTGCCATCGATGATGAGAGCCAGGGTTTCCGTTTCGATCGTGCCGTCGCCTTGGGTCCGTATGGCGTCGAGTTTCTTCTGGATGTTGTCGCGCGTCGCTTCCGCGCTCTCCTCGTTGACAATCAGAAGCATCATATCTTCGCTCAGCAGCTTGCAGCTCATGCCGATGTTGATGGCGGTCTCTTGGCGATCGCCCGTCAACACCCACACCTTGATGCTTGCCTGCTGGAGAGTATGAATGGTCTCTGGGACACCGTCCTGAAGACGGTCCTCGATGGCGGTCGCTCCGAGAAGGTAGAAGTCGCGCTCAATGATCTCGGCGGCCTTGTCCAGCTCCTCTCCACGGGTGCCGCCAACGGTGGTGCTGGCCTTTTCGAAGATCTGGAACCACTCCTGGAACTCTTGTTCGGGAACTTCTCGCATCGCGAGGCAGAGCGTGCGGAGCCCCTCGGAGGCGTACTCTTCCAGGTGGCGCAGGGTGGCTTCGACGTGCGGGTTCTGGTCGTTCAGGCGCTCAAGGATGACGGTATCGGCGCCCTTGCAGTAGACGCGGACTTTCCCATCGGGGCATCGGTAGATGGTCGACATGCGCTTCCTGGTGGAGTTGAATTCGCAAACGGCCAGGAGCTCGTACTCGAGCTCACGTCCTCCTGCCTCGATGAACACGGACCTCGGCTTGCGATCGGTGAAGACGTAGCCGAGCTGAGCGGCGCCCTCGACAAGGGCACCTTCGTCGGGCGAGGCGGCTTGGTACTTGATCTTGCCGCCCTTCTCATCGCTTCTCTCGGGAATGACGGTGTGGCAGGTAGCCAGCAGAGCCAGGAAGTGGTCGATTACGGGAGCCGTCTCATGGCTCTTGAGGTTCTCGGCCAGCCGCTTGTAGTCGTGAATTCCAACCTCGACGCCGTCCTGAATGGTGGCCCTGAGGTCCTCCGGCACGTCCTCGGCATACTGGATGCCGCCGATCGAGGCCTGCTTGAACTCCATCATGTTGCAGGTCAAGGTGCCAGTCTTGTCGGAAAAGACATATTCGACCATACCGAGCTCCTCCACCAAACTGGACGTTCTGCAATTGGCCGGGGTGTCCGTCCGGTCATAGTAGATGTCGAGGTCGTCGTTGATGAGAATGCCGTGCCAGTACTTGACCATTTCCAGGGTGACGAAGAGCGAGATGGGCACAAGCGACGAGAAGAGAACCCAGTACGTGACCATGTCTTTGAAGAAGGTCCTGATGATGTTGTTGGCAGAGCCGGTCGAGTCGAGTAGCAGGTAAGAAATGGCGTCACCCTCAACCTTGCGCTGAACAAGATCACCTACCGTACAGATGACGCTCAGGACAAGGAGGATGCCGACGAGGACCAGGACCAGGATGTTCAGCTTCTTTTCGACCTTTGTGCGCTTGATGGGCGTGGCAGTGGCGTTTCGCATGAGCTTTGTCTCGTGTCCGGTGAAGACGACCGCACCGTGGATCCAGGGAGTGTTGCGCAGGGTAGCACCACGAAGCAGGAGCTGCTCGGGGTTCAATGCCAGTTCCTTCTCGCCCCCGCCTGCCTGCATCGTCAATGTGGCCTCGTACGTGTAGAGACTGCTGTTGGGCTGTTCGGACTTGATTCTGCCGCCGAGCCTGCTCATGTCGCTGGAGCTGACCATCGTGCAGGTCTCTGGCAAGGCCTGCTTGATCTTCAGATTGGTCTCTCCATCGAGGTTGGCTGTTTCAATGTAGCACAGGCCTTCGGGCTCGGAACTCGCGAGGAGCACCAGGTCGGCCGGGAAGGGCTCCTCGGATTCGACGCGGACGATGTCTCCGACGGAGACGCTGATCCATTTCGTCTCCTGGAACGTGGTGCCGCGCAAGACGCGGGCCTTGGACGTGTTCAGCTGGTGGTCGGCCTGCTTTCTGCGGTAGTCCTCCACCAGCTCCTTTCCTGCGGAGACCAGCATCACAATGAAGAGCGGGATAATCGTCGTGTATCTGTTGGTAGGCGAGAGGTTGGGGATTTGTTGCAGCGCCGCCGTGAATAAGAAAAAGACGTTGGCAAACTTTGAAAACTGCTCAAAGAGGAATTTCGGGAGGAAGGTTGCAACGTTGTACTTGGCCGTCGAAACGTGGTTATCGACGTACTTGTTCGCTGCGTTCGCCGGCGGGTTGTTCAGGTGGATTATTCGCGGGCCTAGAGTCGAGGGGTCGGGCTTGCTTCGACCGAAGCCAAATTTGAAGTTGCCCATATCCATCTTCCTGCTCTGTTTCGCATGCGCGCCAACGCCCGGATCTGCGCGTCCGTTGCCGCCCGCCTCCGTCAAGGGCAAGTCCATCTCCGAATACCCTTCGCCCATGCCCATTTTATTCTTCATGCGGCCAAAGAAGCCCCCGCCCATGCTGAGAACGCTATTACGGTTCCGGGCATTTTCCCTTCCTGACGAGTCTCTCAGATTGTTGGCGCTTCCCGCAGAACCTCCCTGCTGGTAATATGATTCGCCCTCGGCCGAGTAATCGTCGAAGTCGTCGGCGTATCGTTGGTAATTGTTCAGTTCTGATGTTTGGCTGTAATGTCTCTGCATGTAGGGACCGGAGGATACATTGCCGCCGGGCGACGCGGGACCTCCAGGTAGCGGCCTCGGTGCTGAAGATTGCTGAGTGTGATTGGCGCCTCCTGCTCCTCTTCCAACGCCGCCGCCGCCGCCGCCGCCGCCAACGAAATCGTCATAAGAGACGGAGGGACGGCCTTGGTCGTAGCGCAACAGGTCGTCGTCGGTTACGGCGGACCGCTGTCCACCGTTGTAGACGGGGTGGTCGTTGTCGAGATCTAGAAGCAGGTCATTATTGGAAGGACCTCCAGGAGGGCCTCCCGTCGGACGTCCAGCCATGCCAGGGGGAGGACACGGAGTGCGTGTTGCTCGACGATCAATGTGCAAGTCTCGAAATGGCCAGCATGCGAAGTCGGGGCGGTCGAATCAAAGTCGTACTATTTCCAGGCACATGAATGAGTGATGGGATCGAAAAGGGGGGGGAGTTTAGGTTGTGTCTTTTTGGAAGCCGGCCAGGTCGCAAGTATGAGATTCGGAACGACAGCAGCAGTATGACGACGACAGCAACGACAATCGACAGTGGAAGCGACGCCGCAGCTGGGCGTTTGGTATGGGAGTTGAGGTGGTGGTTTTGGAGAAATAAAAAAAGTAAAAAGAAGCGGCCCGGCAATCCGTATTCGTTGTTGCAGCACAGCCTCCTTCTGGCGGAGGATTAGGATTACACGGTGGTAGAGTAGCCCTGCGCTACATCAACGGGGGTACCAGATGGGTGAGGTTGATTGACGCCGTATCCGTAAGGCAGAGGCAGTTAGGTATCTGCAGAGTCGAGCAGGAGATGATGCAGTCAAAGGGCGAAGCGACGCAGTCGCTATGATTGGTGTGGTGTGCAGCGGTCTCTAACGAAGCGACAAAGGTTGAGAGTGGTGCCTTTTGAGACCACATGGGCCAAGAGCTGAGGTGATGTGAGGTGTCGTCCGGCGAAAGGGTAGGATCTGCGGAACGTCGTGTTTGAGGTGCTGGCAGTGCTCGAAGGGGGGGACAGCACAAGGGAGCGACGAGACGACTGCGACGGCGAGCCAAGGTGGCCGGTAATCGCAGTGAGAGCAGCAAGCAGACTGAGGCCGGCATTCTACCCCGGGTACACTACCTAGGTACATAGGTACCTGTGTTGGTGTACTGCACGCGAGGTGAGAGTGGGCTCGTCCCACATCTGGTCCCAGCTGGCATGGCTGCTGCTGCTTCCGGGACGGACTGAATGTGCCCTTTTATTTTTGTTTTCTTGCTGTACAATCTTGCGAGCCTTCGCTTTTGCGACTTTGCCAGGTAGTTGTGCCTGGCCATGCTGGTGGGGAGGAGTGTGCCGGCCCCGCCGGGTGAGGGAGGCATGGGGCTTGTTGCTATTCGTGTTTTAGTGGTCAATGCCCCCGGGGCATGACACCAGCTGCGCTGTGCTGCGCTGCGCTGCATCTCATCTCATCCACGTCTGGCCCCCCCCCCCATTGGTCTTGGGTATGCTGGTTAGCGGGCTACGTCGTCCTCCAGCCACAGTAACTAGTTTGGGTTGCGACTTACAGGGCAATGCGAGGGTGGATTGTGACAAGCTGCATCAATCGCCCAGTAGGTATTGTGGACAGACGCACGAGATCTCGGGACCCGTCACTGTCACTGTTGACTACCTTGACAACGCCACTACAGGTAAACTAGACTAGGTAGGCAGGTAGTGCACACCACGCTACACCTAGGTACTCTGGGTCCGCCTCTGCTTGCCAGCAAAAGCGCTCAGACGTGAGCCAATACGGGAACGTCACAATACTGTATCCACAACCATCCCATCAGACCCCCCTACTACGGAGTAGTTATCGTCACAAAAGGAATTAAGCATCGTCTCCCGCTCAAAATTTCCCTCAGTTGCTGCCCCCCCCCCCCCCCCCCCCCCGATCTTCTGTTATTGCCTGTGGATACACCACTCTCGGCCATCCGAATTGTACAGACGAATTGTACGGCCGCCCTGACATTCTCCCGTGGGCCGTGGCACTAAAGAAACTTGAACAGAGTGTATCCGTACCTACCTAGGCAGTCCCAGTTTCAATTCCGGACCGTCAGTCAGGGGTCCTGGTCCGCCCAGGCACAGCGAGGAAACACGCAAGAAAAGTAGGGCCCCTATTGTGGCTACCGCCAGCGAACCGGGCAGCCTGTCGTCGTCCCCGGCGAGGCGCTAGCTCCGCCCTGAAATCGAGGTCGTCGGACCCACAGGCGGAAACTGAAGCAAAAGAAAGGCAAAACGGGCTGGTGCGAAGGTTTGGTGGCACTTTGGCTTACTAACCTCTCCCGTGCTTCCAGCCCTGCGGCGTTGCGTCACTCTCTTCAGCTCTCCTCCAAGCCACAGCCATCCTCCCTCAGCCTTAACCCCCGACGCCACCAGCCATACGCGACTCGATCCCATCTCCCGCTGCCGCCGACTATTCGACCGCAATCGCATCCTCCCGCACCGTCATCACCGCACCGCAAGGACGACGGCGACGACGACGACGCACCCCGCCCCCCCTTACGCCACACCCTGAACCGCCCAAGATGGTCTGCACAAAATGCCAGAAGCTCGGCAAGGGTGCAACGGCCCTCGCCACGCCCTCCGTCAAGAAGAAGACCGAAATCTACCACGGATCCTCGTCCGCTTCGGCGTCCTCCTCCAAGCCGACGTTGGGGTCCACGGGCATCGGCAAGAGCAAGCTGCTCTCCAAGGCTGCCAAGAACCCCTACGCCCAGTACTCGAGCGCCTGCTCAAAGTGCAAGACGAAGGTCTCCCAGGGCCACGCCCTTTGCCAGTCTTGCGCCTACAGGGCCGACTCGTGCGCCTCGTGCGGGAAGCCCAACAAGAAGGCCAAGGGTGCGGCGCCCTCCGTCGCTGGCCAAAAGTTTACGCTCAAGTGAAGGGTGCGAGGGATGCATGAACTACCGAAATAACCCGCCATCAGCGCCGCGCCGATGGTGGTGGGCCAACGATGCCCACCCGACGTATTTAGTCAGTCTTGATGGATAACATGACATAGCGAACAGCCTTTCGACGACGTACAGGCCCGGTATCAAGCAGAAAGCCAGCTAGCAACCCATATCAGAAGCCGAGCAAGAGGTCGCAGAGCACTATATATCAGGACGACGCACGGGAAGCAAGAGGCAAGATCGAGTTACGAAGGCCACAAATAGTCAGAGCCTAGGGCTCGTGCTCGAGGCCGGTTGAACGTACGCGAACTAGTGTATCACATGCCGTAACATCAAATCACTGTGAGCTCTATAAGTAGTTGAAAACGAGAGAAGTATAGGTCACGAAGAGAGACAGCCATGATTAGCAACGCTATTCGTCATTTGTTCGCTATAGTTCATCCCCTCCCCGTGTGATCCGTTCATTCCCGTCTGTCATTGAAAACCGTAAAACGTCCGTCGAAATGCCATCTCGCGAACTCGGGCCGCGTCCTCTCGAAAGCCCCAGAACTCAAAGCGACGCCGTCGGCGTCTTCTCGACCTTGGTCTCGAGCCACTGCTTGATTTGCTTGTTCACCTCCTCTGGTGTCTCCCACAGCGCCCAGTGCGACGCCGTCACCTCGCCGCGCGTCAGGTCCGTAAAGTGCTTGTCCATGCCCGCCGATATGGACGGCGGCAGCGCCGCGTCCTTGGTGGCGGAGACGAACAGGCTCGGCGGCGTCACCTTGTACTCGCCGCCCTCGGCCGCCATCTTCTCCGCCAGCGGCAGCTCGTCGTCGTAGTTGATCCTGCGCGTACGGTACCAGTTCAGGGGCCCGCGCAGGCCGCTCTTCTTGTAGTTCTCCAAGTAGTAGTCGACCTCCTCCTCCGACAGCAGGGGCGTGGGGCCGATCTTGTCGAGGTTCTCAAAGATGACGCCGCGCTGCGTGTCGAAGGCGAGCTCGCCGTTGGGGCCCCGGCCGCCGTAGATGCCCCTGAGGAACTGGCGGATATCCTCGGGCTTCGTTAGCTTCTCCTCGACCTCGGCGCTGCGCAGCTGCAGCTGGTATCTGAAGTTGGTCAAGTGCCCGGCGGCGATGAGGTCGGCGAGGTCGAACCAGGCGGCCGTCGGCGCGTTGTACGGCGTGCAGACGCTGAAGACGCCCTTGATGAGGTCCGGGTGCCACATGGCGACGCGCCAGACGAGCGCACCGCCCCAGTCGTGGCCACCGAGAACGATCTGCTCGCCGGGCGCAACGTGCTCGGAGAGCGCCTTGATGTCGTCCGACATGTTTTTGAGAGACCACTCCTCGAGCTTCTCAGGCGACGACGTGTGGCCGTAGCCTAGGCAGTCAGGCGCGACCACCTGGTAGCCCAGCGAGAGGAAAAGGGGGATCTGGTAGCGCCAGCCGAACGAGATGTCGGGCCAGCCGTGGATGAGGACGACGGTGCCCTTGGGGGTGCCCTCGGGCTTGCTGTAAAGGTAGGAGTAGGTCTTGCCCCTGACCTCGGCCTCCTTGCGCTCGACGCGCGGGTCGTTGGGGGCAATCTTATCGACAGCCATGGTGTAGGTGTGTGAGCGTTTTTGCGTGATGTGTCTGTCAAAGGCAACAACGTAGGGCGGCTAGCTCAGCTAGGAGGGCAGCAACGAGCTTATATATACGAAGCATATACATTTGTATTATGGGCTGGCAACATTATTCATGCTAAGCAGGAATCCTTGTTCCTGGCGCCAACTCAAACGGAGCCGAGGAGGGGCCTGAAGCAAGCGTTACAGCGGGGATAATGGTGCAGCTGGATGATGGAATTATCGCTAAGCCCAGTTATTCACATACGATGTAGACCTTGGAATCGGCCGGCTCCCGGAGCCCTTGGAAGCTCCGTACGCTTCCACCCGGCTCGCCTCTACCCATCATCTCGCAGACCCATAATAGATGCCATCCGGGCGTCGAGCGGTGTACCGAGCCTCGGCATAGCCGTGCTAGGTTCGGGGAACACCAGTTTCTTCTTTTGAATTATCATGGACTAGTGGACCATTACGCTGAGAAGAGGGGCAGCACCTGGCCGAGGGTTACAGGTATTTTCACGGTCCCCTTTTGGTACTTTCACGGCCCTCTAAGCCCATCTAGGCTAGTCTCTCTCCTATCTTAGTTAGTCCCGTCGAGAATACTATATTCCATTCCATCACCCTAACATAACCAACTAACCTTGACCCTGACCTAGACCCTGACCTAGACCCTAACCATCCTAACCACTAACCCTACGCATCTTTTATATTATATATAAAAGATGCGTAGGGTTAGTGGTTAGGGTCTGGGTTAGTTGGTTATGTTAGGGCGATGGAATGTGTTATTTGGGTGTATTGTGGCGGTGGTGGCGGGTGGGCCGTGAAAATACCAGAAGGGGGCCGTGAAAATACCGGTAACCTGGCCGAGCGACGGAGTCGAGCCGCAGCATTGGTGAACGACATGGCCAGGAACCCACCCGGAGTCCCTGGATGAAATCGTCTTAGCGCCCCCATCGGCGCTGTGAGATGCCTCGGTCCAGGCACCACCGTTGTGTCCTGCAAAAGAAAGAAGAAAAAAAGGTTAGGCAAGCTGCTGATCCCAAACTGTAACCGAATTGCTGTAAACCTTGAAAGCGAACGGCTTTGGTCAATTCAAAAACATGAGATGGGGCTTTCAAGGAACAGTTCGACCGGATAGGTAGAGCACTGGTGCGTCACTGCCATGTCCGACGTCAGGGACCTGCCTCAACCACCATGGGCTGGAAATGGTACGAAATCGGTCTTTGGTTTCAAACGTATGGAATTTGTTGTAGATATACCCCGCAAGTAAATGCCGCTTTGAACTCCGCTTGGTATCATGTCCCCAAATTTTGATCAACTCTCGCCACAGGGAAGAACACCACCCGCCTGTGTCGCCAACGATCGGCGGTAATAAACATATAAACGGCGATCAACTCGGCCACACAGGGAAGCAAGGAAAAGAGCGCGTTGAAGCTCGTGTCCAATATCAGTAAATAACCATGTCCTCAGCATCCTCAACAACATCGCCAGGTTCGTCATGCTGATGGCTTGGAGAAGGGGCATCATGCGTGACCGCCGGGGCTTCCGGGGCAGCTGCTGCGGGGGGTTCTGCATGTGTCTTGGCTAGGTCTTCGATGTTTGTAGGCGCGGGCAGTTCATCTCTCGTGGGCAGCCTGCTCTGGCCGTAACGCCGTTCGTGCTCGTCCTTGCGCTCTCTGAAAGCCTCCGTCTCCCTTGCTACAGTCGCCTTGGCGTCTCGAATCTGGGCGTCGATCTCATCCTCTTGCTCTTTTGTAAACTTCCACGGTCGGTAGTACTAAAAGCTGTCAGCCTGAGATTTCGTGTTCGCGAGCAGGAGATCTTACAATTGGTGGCCATGCCTTCGTTCTGAGAGAATGCGCCATCGCGACCATACCCGCATGCCGGCTTTTCATCTAGGGAGAAGGACATCAGCTGCTGTATCGAGTTTGCAAGGGGGGAACCACCACGTACAGCCTTCTCGTCAAACTTTATCTGCTCCTGCCATCTCGCCTCGGTTATCCTCGCGAGCTTCTCTGTTCTCCGCTTCTCGTCTTCCGCCCGTTGCTTTTGCGCCTTCTCATGCTGCCGCTGCTCTATTTCCCTGCGTTTCTTGTGTTGGGAGCCGCTGTTGGTCTGGCTCAAGGTGCTGAGAAGACCGCCGAACAACCGCTTGCCCCGCTTCTTCTCTTCGTCTTTCGATAACGGCGTGCACCGAGTTGTGTTGGCGCCTGCGTCCCCATCCCGCGGCCTCGGGTCTGTCGTTGATGGGTCGTGTGCGGGTGGGTCACGGTGGTCGCCTTCTTCAATCCTCAGTCGCTTCGACAAGCCCTCATCGCCGTTAGAGACTATTGATGCTTTTCGCTTCTGTGCGACCTCTGCCTCGGAGATCGTTGGTTCCGGTTGGATGGCGTTGGCAGGCGCCCTAGATTCTGTAAGCCTCTCGCCTGACCCAAGGGAGCCATGTGCGCCGTACTCTGTGACCGTGACCATTCTTCCTTGTCGCGCAAAGCCGTAGCTCGACTTGTAATTCGATCAGGCCAAATGAAGCGGCGATGACATGAGGTTCGGATTCGACAGGTATAAGGAATGAGTGCTTGAGCCATGCTAGAGCTCGAAGGCTCCCGGCTCGAGCTCCAAGGCTGAGGTTTGTCAGCGGGGCTCAGCCACTCAGAGATGGGGTCCTGCTAGGCACCCCCGCTTCGGCCGAATCAGGCAAGGGTCCGCACCAATGATGGAAAGAGAAGCTTGGAGAAGTTGTGGCAAGGCTGACCGGCGCGTACTTCTTCCCAGAATCGCCGTGCCAGAACTTGCGACTACCCACTCCAGCGACTTGAAGCATCATACCAGCCAAACCACCTGTTTGCGAGGTCTTCTTCCCAGAAATTGCCAAAAAAAAGACAAAAAATGTCGCGTCATCACCCGTAAGTCGGCTCGCTTCTCCTATTGACATGCACCAAGCTAACCCCGATTGCCAGCGATCTCGTCATGTGCCGCAAGCAGGCCGGTATCGCCATCGGCCGCCTCTGCGATAAGTGCGACGGCAAGTGCCCCGTCTGCGACTCCTACGTGCGCCCGACGACTCTTGTTCGTATCTGCGACGAGTGCTCCTTCGGCAACTACCAGAACAAGTGCGTCGTCTGCGGCGGTGAGGGCATCTCGGACGCCTTCTACTGCTTCGAGTGCACGCGCCTCGAGAAGGACCGCGACGGCTGCCCCAAGATCATAAACCTCGGCAGTTCCAGGACCGACCTGTTTTACCAGAAAAAGACCAATCGGACGGCGACGTACTAGTCCCTGCGTCGCCCGGGTATGGGCACTGGTGTGGTTCGACGAAAAGGATACGGACGGCTACGAGTTTTACGGGAATGGGCTTTTGCATTGTCTGGCGTTTGGGCGTATAGTGTCTGTCGCACACAGTTTGTGTAGGGAAGATCGGGCTCCGTTTGGCCGTAGTCAGAAATGATGTTCTCTCTCAAAGTTGCGACAGAAATGCTTCGTTTTTTGCGTTAGTATAAAAGAGGCCACGGACAATTACGGCCATTGTTCACCCAAATCCGTATAATACAGTGAAGTCAGAGCTAAGCAGTATCCGTCGTAATCATATGTAGCTAACCTTGACTCCCATTCCCGCAGTTGCCTTAACCTTGTTCCAACCGTTACCAAGCACTCGCTGTATCCGTTCACGGATATTCTTCTGCCCGAACATGACGACCAACCCCAAAATGAAGGCCACCAGCCGCATCAGCAGCATGGGGTTCGTCTTAAATGACGCCCCCAGTTGGTCTATTACCTCGCGTATGCGAGACAAAACCATCGAAGCCCTCGTCCCAAACGTTGGTGCGGTCGGCGATTTTCCTTTCGCCCGGGAGACAGGCATTTTCGAATTCGAGTTGGAGCCGGAGGCGTTGGAGACCACTCTCGCGTGACGTCCCTTGCTCGAGCCTGCTTTACTAGGTGTCTTTTCGATGCCGTAGTCCCCTTCGGCCCCTTCTCTCCGTGCCCTCTCTTCCTCTAACCTTCGGCGTTCTCGTTCTTCGTTTTCGGCCCTCAGCTGCTTCGCCTCTTCGATGTCGCGCCGCAGTTGCTCCTCCTGCCGGCGACGCTCTTCCGTCTCTTGCCTCTCCTGTTCTTGCTGCTCCTCCTGCAGGCTCTCCAGAGCTTGCAAGAACGCTTCACGGCGCTCGTCGTCCAATACTGAGCTCACGCTGATAAACTCGCGGGCATAGTCCCATTCATTGTTGCGGATTAGCACGTGTAGCGTATACAGCTCGAGGATCTTGACCCGCGCATTGAGGTCCCTCGGCGTATCCGCTCCGCTCGTGGCCTTGGCCGGAGACCGGTGTCGGTTCAGCCGTGGTGACGGTGATGGAGCGTCCGAGAACTGCTTGGAGAAGTCCATATTTGGCGAGGTAGATGCTGCAAGATAGCTCTCCAGCTTTTTCTGATTTAATTCTTGCGTCCGAGCGTGGGCTAAGAGGAGCGTGGCGCTGCGTGCTTGTTAGCTTTTTTTTTCCGGCAGAGATCATGGCTGAGGGGAGCTCACAGATTGATGACAACATCCGAGTCGACGTCGCTCTCGACGCCGTGGTATCCGTTGCGTACGACTTCTTCCCATACCTCGCCCTCTCTAACCTTGGAGCATAGCGACCGCCACTCCTGGCTCCCGAAGGCATCCTTTCCCTCGTCCGGCTCCAGTTCGACGATTGCGTTCAACGTCGTCAAATACAGGCTCCAGACCTTGATCCTCGTGGATCGTGACGCCCTCGCGACGGGCGCAGGCTCGTTTACGCCGTCCTCCGACTGTCCCGGCGGCGGGGTGATTAGTGGCAGGATGGTCGACAGGGCCTCGGGCAGCCGACGCGTGAGGAACAGAGTTGAGGCCTGGCGGTAGGTCTTTGATATCTGGGAGTTGTGGCGTGATGAGGTCGAGGAAGAGAGAGACGAGATGGAGCTCGCGAGCATATGCGGAGGAAACGTGACAGTGGTATCGGAGGAGGCGACCGTGGGACTCAAGGTCGCCGTGTAGGAGCCATTGACGGACGACATGTCTACGGCGGTGGATAGTTAGACAGTTATGGGCGGCAGCAGGTTGTCAGTACGCCGGCATTGAACTGGCCCAGGCGGAGGGAAATGAGGACAAATAAGAACTGGGTCTATTATTAAGTGTCCGGCGTGCGGAGAATGGCGGCCATCATACGCGTTCCTATGCAAATGCCAGTTGCTATGATGGGAGCCGCGACATGTGGTCAGATTTGGAGTTCCTGGGTGCTGCGGAGAGAAAGTGAGGGAGTGGTGTGGGTGGGTGGTCGTCGCTGTTGCCGCGTGCCGGGTGCTGTGCTGGAGAATTCCAATTGGAGTCTGCTGACAGCATGCGCAGGAACGCACCGACAAGGTTACACTTTTTTTCGGCCCAGGTTTAGCCTCGGTTTGTTTCTCTGCTCTGCACCGCCGGCCCAGGCCAACTGACCGCCAAAACGAGGGCGGCCGATAAGCGAGTACCAGTGACGTCGCACCGGACGCCTCACATGTCAAGTACCCCTCTAGCCTCCGCGAGCAGCAGCAGCGGTCTCCTAGCATTCCCATTGGGTAGACCTTCTGCTTCGGGAAAGGCGCCTTGCCTGTTGGAGCAACAGGGGTTGCCCTCGACGACCTCCCCAATCCCGGAGATCACCAACCATATCCAGATGGTCGTCTCATGCCCTCTCGCAGCCTGTCATTTCCAATCTTCGTGTTCTCCCGCATCATCCGCATCGGAATTCCCGTCCAGCTGCTGGTTTTCTTAACCACTCTATTATGACGCCCCTTTAATTGCCCCCCACCCCCCGCCTCCCGACTGTCAATTGCAGGCTTGCACAAACGGGCTCACGGTTCAGGGCTTCCCCGTCCATCTGCTTCCCCAGATTGAACCGAAGTGCTTAATGGGTGGCAGTCAGTGACAGTCCAATATAACTACGGCTAAGCATGGAAGAGACTGGCCTTCGTGGGGAGCCTTTATCAACTTTGATGCCGCCTCCTTGCATCACCGCTGTGCCACTTTTGTTCCCTTTCCCATCTCGGTCCTCGCTGCTTGCACGCCCGTATAGTCACCACGCTCATACCGACCTGTTAGGGAAGAATGTCCTGGGAAAGGGCGTCGCTCCCGCCCTGAGTTCTCTGGCGCTTTCAGGGGCTAGGACGCGGTTCACCTTGAGGCAACGTATCGGAAGTCATGTCACTTCGACTTGGCGGTTCGATTATGTCTTCGGGTCATCTATCGACACATTGCTTTGCGGGGCTTCTCATAAACCCCACCAGGGATCACCCGTCCTTAACGACATTGCAAAGACCCATCACTTCGCACACGACGCGTTTTTCTCTTCACGCACCCCTGTTGTCAGATGAGCACACGCTTTCTTCACCCCGCCTTCTGCACAGCTGATTTTACATGCTTAGCCAAGCCTCACTCTCCAAGGGAAACCGTCTTGTGCGGATCTCCACGCGGGCTGTCCTCACCTGAGTACTTGCGCTGCAAGATCAAGAGCCGATCTCGTAGGGACTTGCGTTTCTAAGAGCTGTAAGAAGCTGTCACAACTTCGTCAACCTCGTCCGCTGACGTAAAACCAACCACATTGCCTTTTTCGTCATCCACTGAGCAGATGATCACAGTGGCACTATAATTCCAAATACGGCACCTCTTGTACGGAACGAGGACTTGGGCCTGTCTGTGGACGATCTGATGATAGATGCTGGTCTGCTTTTTGCTGTCTGAACGAGGGATGAGTATCTCGATTCCCGTAGGTCTCCGAAAAGCATCGTCGTCAGCCTATATTCAGGTCGTAGGAGACCAATGAGCAGGTATTTCTGTGGCAGACATGGTATAAGTCTTGACCAAGGGGGGCACTTACCTTCACGTCAGAACCCGCCAGTCGGCCGTAGATCGTGTCCTAAACGTATGCACTGAAACAATGTAGTCCCTCTTCCTTCTCGTTGTAAGGCTGTTCTCTCTCGTTCCGAGGCGCCATTCTCTTCTCGATTCGCTGGGTGGCCATGCGGACGTCCTTGTGGCTGAGATACGGGACGCAGTCTTCGTAGAGTTTCTCCATCCGGATACCCTTTTTTCTCAAAAACTTGGGGGTGTAATACGCTACATGCAGTCGTCTGTCGAGATCCTGGACGAACATCTCGTCATCTTGGGTGTCTGCGTGTAAGTGAGGGCTGACGGTAAGGCTGTAGGACTCGACATCGCACGAGCCATCCACGAAGGTGTCGGACTGGTAGATGCGACGTCGCAGGGGGGATTGCCGACCTGGTTGGACCGTGATACAAGTGATGTCTTGGCCAAAGACGTGTTGAAGGTGGAGGCTGTCTTCTTCGCGGCCTCGTAGAATTGTTGCCTGCTGGGGTTTTTATGTCTCTCCTCCGAACCCTTGTCTGTGATTCCGGTCATCTTAAGGTCGATGGGGACGAGTTGCGAAGTGGCGATAGACAGTATTACCCGGGACAGCTGCTGCCAGGAATTCTTTATGGTGACATTCATTGCTTGAACGGGAGCCATCGCGCCTTTGACGAGCTAATCTACTGTGGTTGACGATTGAAGAGACCTGACGGAGTGACGATGACAACCGTATGTAGAGAGACAGGCAGGGCAATAAATCCTGCAAGGAAGGAGCATTCGATCGACATTCAGATGAGCACCCACCGAATGCCATGCTTTCTGTGAGGTTCGGGCTCGAGTATCAGACCTGTGGCCTTAGCCTACCAATGTGCGGAACACATTTAAGGATGAGGAATAGGAGAATTAGGCCGAAAACACGAAAATGCTATGATGAACAACTAGAAACCAACGGAAACAGGAAAGTCAAGAAAACACTGTGGGAGCCTCTGTTGCCACCGCTCGCCCATATACCTGCTTAGATGGCTTTATGATCTCGACTATCGTCACCACCGGACGCTGAATCGGTATGGCACTGCTGAACGAAATGCGTATTGACACGAAAACCACGAGTACAGCTTCAAGAAGGGCGTACCGCCTTGATCGCTTCCAGCCCCAATGAAGCCGAGGGCAGCCAGAGCCAAAAGCAAGACCGTCGAGCCCAGACCGGCCGACATCGTCCAGTGAAGATTTGATTGTACAGTTTATCTATGATACAACAGCGTTACATCCCTTTTCTTGCCTTTGCCCTCCCCTGGATGCGAGCCAGACCAGTCGAAAGCCAAAGCCCCCTCCCCCAACCGTCTTTACCGGTCCACCATCATGTTTCGTACACTGCGGTAGTACCCGGGCTCCAGCACCTCCTGGAGCTCCTCCTGCGTCAACCACTTGAATTCCTTGTACTGGTGCTTGTTGGCCGACAGGTCCGCCTGGCCCGCCATGATGCGGCCCTTGAGGAAGAACGTTTTTTGCCCCTTGTCCTCGGTGGTCGTAGGCTTCTTCACGTAGGCGGCGACCGGCACACGACCGACCATCCACGTGTTCATGTTGACACCCGCCGTCTCGTCAAGGATCCTCTGCGCAGCCTACGTTCCTCAGTCAGCACGATTTGTTTGTCACGACATTGTAACCTGTAGAAAAGGGTGTAGGAAGAAAGGGTATCCAAACTCACCTCGTGGAGGTTCTCTTCTGTGGACATTCCAGCCGCGGGGAACTCCCACTTGGCACCGTCCTTGGAAACCTTCTTGACGACCAGGTACAGAGTGCGGTCCATGGCGCGGTCCAGCCTTGTCGTGTCGCGTTTGTGGTCCGCCTCCGACACTCGCGGCGCGAGGGGCTCGGGAGGCGCCCGGTCCTCCTCAGGGATGATCTCGGCGTCGTCACTCACGCGCATGACGGAGTCCTTCAACAGCAGATCGATCGTCGTGTCGTGGTTGCTCAGCCCGTCGCCGACCATCAGCTCGTCATCCCACGCCTGCGAGGCCTTGCCGTTGTACACGCCGAGCTCCTTTGCCACGGTGCCCTGTCGGTCCTTGACCTTCATGTTCCAATCGATGAGCGCCGGGGTATCGGGCTTGAAGTAGACGGACGTGATGAAGGGCAGCGACAGGCGCTCGTTGAGCCGCTTTTGGTAGAAGAAGTAGGCCTGCTCAAAGGCCGTCAGGGGTCGCGTGAGGAGGGGCGCCCGCGTCAGGATCACGCCGGCCTTGATATGGTAGTTGGGACCCGTCTGACGCGCCGTCTTGGGCTCAGGAGAAATGCCGACGTTTGGAGGAGGCGCCGTGGTCGTCGTCGTCGGGTCAGTCGTCGTCGAGGCGGCGGCGGCGGCGCCCGAGTACGCCCGCGAGGGAGTTGGAGCTCGGATCTGGACCCTCGCGCATTGTTGGCAGACTCTAGGGGTGGCTGCCCGTATCAATCAGTCAGTTGCTCTAGAATTACAACGGCGACAAGGTTCTCACGTCGTATGCGCCCGAGGGCGGCGAATGCGCCTCTGCTGGCGGCCGTCATGGTGAATGGTTAGGTGTACTGAGTCTCCTCATTGACACCTCAGTCGAGATCTCAGATTGAACTTTTTTGCTGCGAAGCTCGGTCGAGATACGTACCGCCGTCTTCTGGCTTCGCTTACCTAAGACCGTAGACGCCAGTGTACCTAGTGCAGTGGGACAGCTTCGAGGCGGAGCCGACAGGTACCGGGTCAACTTGGCGCCTGAGAAGCGCCGGCGGGCTCGCATCACGTAAGCAATGGAGTCTCATTGCAGAGCCTTTTATCATCTTTCCACCGACCCGCCGCTTCTTTTCCTCTTCTTCTTTTTTTCTCACTACGGCACCAATTCCTTATCGTCAAGACCTGTTCCGCCTCCAGAACGTCCTGATCATTTATCCGGTGCCCAGAGTAAAGAGCAGTCTTTTTTCGCTAGCAGCACCTGCATTTATTACTGGGTTATACTGTTAGATAGTTACTGCAAACATATTCAGCCTCTTCACAGCTGACCAATGGTCCACTGGCTCTTGCTACGTCGCCAAGGCCGAGAGAGAATGCTGGGCATCCCGCTGAGGACATGTCGTAGCTCTTGCACGCCCTCCACCGTCATTCGATCTCTATGGATGGGTGTGTCTGATGCCACTCATAGCGCCGATGCAGAACCCGTCACGGTTCGATCCAGCGATTTCTGCAATTTGAAATGAGTCGTATGTCCATTCGTCGTATCGTCGTCGTCTATCTACAGTACAAGAAGCTTCCTCTTCGGCCTTAATTCGAGCCGTAATATGGTGTTGAGGGAGCACTCGCTATTCCGAGCTGATCGAACCTCCCTAGTTACAAATGCGTCTTCCCTATCCAGAAAGATAATTGATTGCCGTAAAATTTCAAAGAAGCCTCCACTGGTTGGAGTGTCGGAGTGTCGGGTATCAAACCGCTTGGTTCGCTGCCAAACACCAAAAACAAAACGTCATGCCTTGTGTGCTACCAATCAAGCCTTCAGTTCCTCCACTGCACGAGCCACCTCCTTGGAAGCGATCTTCTCCCATGCTTTCTTGGCATCTTCGTCTAAACTTTGAGGATCGCGAAGACCCTCGTATAACTTTCGAGAGACGTCCCGATTGATATTTGCGTACTGCTCCGATGTGAGCTCTTGTGCGCGCCAATGAGGCTTGAGAGCGGCCCTGACGATGCCGCTGATTTTCTCCTTCGTTTCGAAGGGGATGGCCAGCGGGCGTGTGGGGGACGAGTCCTGCGACCGGGAAAAGTTGAGTCGCTGCCGGTTTGGCCGCTGCGGTCGAGGCTGGCGGATTTCGGCGCCGTTTGAACGACTGTCTGAGTCGCTGCTGTCACCCGTGTTTCGAGTGGGCGAGTAGTTGGCCTTGGGGAACCTCGGCTCCACATACGAGCTCAAAGACAACGTAGGCGAGGTAGGTCTAGAGTGTGGCGGCGGTGTGAGGGATAGCGCCCGCGGAGAGTTCCGTGATGATGGGGAGGGGGATGCCGCGGGTGACGAGGGGTCGGCACCGGAACGGGTGCCGAGATAATTCCGCACCGTCTCATCGTCCGACGGAGTGCTCATCTCCACCTCCTTGAGCAGCGACGACAAGAACGATGGGCCAGGCTCGGCACTGACCGGAGACTGAGCACGGTGGGTCACGCCGTTCGTCTGAGGCCTCGAGACTAGTACAGTCGTCGGCGCGGGCGACGATGCGACCGCAGGTGCAGAAGCGAAAGCCGAGTTGGACGCAGAGGCAGAGCCAGAACCCGAAGCGGAAGCAGAAGCGGACCCAGAAGCTTCTCCCTGCAAAGGCAGTCGGCGGGTGCGGGGTCGCTTGAGCTTGCGCTCGGGCTCTTGAGCGGGCTCCTGAGGAGAGGCCGTGACGGACCTCGCCTTTCGCTTGCGGGTGTTGGGGGGAGTCTCGGCTTCGCGAGCCCTGTCGAGGGCTCCCCAGGCCTGCTGTTCCTCTCGTGTCTCGGGAGGTGGTGGAGCAGGCTGGGCGACCGGCTCGACGGGTGCGCCATCCAAACGGTGACCCACGGCCGGGCGGATGTTCTGTGCGAAAATGTCTCTGGCGCCTAGGCGGCTGGCGATGTTCATACGCTGCTGCCAGTCCTGGTGCTCTTGGATCTCGCGGATCTGCTCTCTCTGTGCCTGGGCACGACGGAAACCCTGGAAGAGATCCTCATCTTCGTCATTGTCGAGGTCGATATCGGTAGCATCATAGATACGGCTCGCGATCCGATCCCATGCGCCTTGCCATTCGAGAGATCTCGCCTCGCGCCGCGCGTTCCTGGCTTGCAACTGAGTACGCAAGAAGCCTCGTCGGGCAACGGCGTTTCGCCGGTTGGCCGCTGAGCGAGCAGCCTGTGTAATAGGCTGCGGCTGCGGCTGCACTTCGACATCCGAAGTCTCGCTCGAGCTGGACCGACCTGCGTTGTTCTCGGCACACTCAAAGCAGTACCAGTACTCCGTCTGAGGAACGCCGGACAGGCCGATGCAGTGCGTGTGGTAGGCAGAATTGCAACCGTCGCAGAGGAGCAGCACCTCTTCGTGGTCCGAAGACTCGCAAATGGGGCAGGCGGGACTTGGCTCCGAGGCATCGTCTTCAGGGTTCTCCTCCAGCCACCTGTGAATGTCGAACTCTTGCTCTTGCTTCTTGTCCTGGACGGCGTACGAATCGATAGGAGGGCCTGAAGGGGGAAGGAAAGTGTTAGCCTCTGCTGTTGCTGTCGGGTTGTCGAGTGGGATGTTTCGATACGTACCATTGAGCTCAGATGATAGACTGACCTCATTAAAAGGCGTCCGGCAAATAGGGCAAGTGTTTGAGTTCTTGGCCCAACTCCTGATGCACTGATCGTGGACAACGTGGTTGCAGCCGACCAGAGTGGCAATGAAGTTGGACTCTTGGTCCTCGAGGATTTCAATGTCTGAGTCGATGGCACGGTAAACGGCCTGTGTAGTTGCGGATGCTGCTGGTCCCGCTCCAGTTGCACTGTCTGGCTGGGACGAGGGGTGCTGCAGCGACTCCAGGCATATGATGCACTGATCCGGTTCAGTCATTGTGGCAACAGTGGTAGTATCGCTTCCAGAGTGGTGAATTCATAAAAAATTGTCGTGAATGATAGCCAAAGGATGGCCCTTGAAGTGCACAAGGGTCGACAGTCGCCTTTCTGTCTGAACTGCTGTGGTTTTGTTTGCAGCGTCCTGTTGCCTTGTTGCTGGTTGAAGGCGGCAAAACAAAAAAAAAGGTGCCGAGTTGATGGCCCTTCTGTGGTGGTGCTAAGGCGGCAAGAGAGTTGGGGTGCACAAACACACTACAGCTGGGCAGAGTTGCTGAAGAGTGGGAAGAGGGAGAAAAGTGGGAGGGAGGCAAGTTCCGTGTGGTCAGCGCTCTGCGTTTTTGGCAGGAGACAAGACGTCAGCTGGGGCAGTTTGGAGACGCTTTGGTGCGTAGGAACCCGAACGGGAGGCGAGAACCAACTGAAAAATAATATGAAAAATAAAACGGAATAAACGACTCGTGTGAAGAGAGGCTGGCTAGATGGCGGAATTCGTACTTTCGCTTGTGGTGCTTATGTGAGGCGGAAGGAGGAGGAAGAGACAGGTGGGAGAAAGAGCCCGAGGGGAAAAGCGCTTCGTTGGTGGTGGTGCTGGCGGTGCTGGCGGTGCTGGTGGTGGTGCTGGTGGTGCTGGTGCTGGTGCTGGAGTGCTAGAGTGCTGCAGTGCAGACAGGCAGGTCAGGGAACTCGACGGGAGGAATTGTAGGAGGGAAGGTTTGGAGGGACAGCGGGTTTTTGCGAGCTTAACGGCCTGCAGCTGGTCTCGACCGGGGCCAATCAACGGCCGGCTAATGCAGCGGCGCCACGCTCCTTGCACCTCGCAATCCGTGGTCCACTGGGCTGGACAGGGGTGGCAGGGACTTGCCGGGCCCCATGGACATTCAACACACCTGCCTGCACCACACCTTCAGACTCAAGAGTCCAACCAGCAACACCAACGTGCCTGGCACATATTTGAGATCCGAGTAGGTAGGCACGTAGGCAAGTCGACGCACCGAGACGAACCAGACTAACCCACTAGGGCCGCTGCAGGAGCACAAACCCCTAATGATCGATTCGATGCAGGTCAACGCCCCCGGTCGGTCCATCTCAACTGTAACTGTCCCTCTCTCGCCCCTCCTCTTCCTCAGTGCCCTAGACAGAGAGGGCACCTTGGCATAATACACTGGTTGAAGGGCGGTGCTGCTGATGCTGGTCTTCCTCGATGGACGGCTGCCCGTTCTCATAAGAGGGTGTGGTGGGAAAACGAAGGGATACGTACCTGACTTGGCGTAACAACCCAGACGACGACTTGGGAAGCTTGCGTGGTTGTGTTGCGTTGCGTTGCGTTGCGTCGAGTTTGCGTTTACCGGCCTTCTCCTCACGGTTCCTACTTATCTCATTTGTTCCCCTCTCGTCCGTCGACCACCCTCCAATAAGGTAGGTATGAAGTGAATGAGATGAGCGAGCCTTGTCGCGGGAAAGAGGGTGCGAAGGGGAAGGTAGGTAGTAAGTAAGTGGGCGAGTCAAACACTCGATCGATGTGTTGGCTCGTGCGAGATCAGTCGGCCATGTACCTACCTAACTACCTTTGGGCCAGATGAGCGTATGATGTCGTTGCTGTGTGCCCGGTCGTCTTTCGACGTGGAAGGGAGTGTTTACGTTTATGTCAGGCAATATCGTCAGGTGTGAAATTCATAACTATTTCGAGATTATGTGGTGTTCCCTAATAAGTCAAAACAACACTTAATAATATCATTATTCTTCTTTAAAACAGCCATAATAATGCACAGCGGCGAGTCGAGGGCGGGATCCACGATGGCTGAAGAGGGAAAGGCCGGGCGCAGGGTGCGAAGATTCGGCCGCTGGAATGAGGTCAGGTCGACGGTACAATGAGTGCCGTCTCCGAGTCCAAAAATGGGATTGCTCTCCTCACGCGGGAGTCCTGCGGAGCGCGCAGGGCCAGGGAAGGGAAAGGAACAAGGGACTGAGGTGACATTGCTACTATATCCCGTAAAGCAAGTTCCACGTGAGACCTTCACGCCCCTCGTTTCCCGGATGCCGACGAGATTGGTCGACGGGGCCTGCGTCAGGTTGGTCCCAAGCCAGAGTCCGTCTATTCCTTGGTGTGCCCGCCCGAGTGACCAGATATTAGACGGCGGCCGCCCATCCCGGGTGCAATTGTCATCCGCCGTTTATTAACCAGAGCCGAAGAGGGAGCGAAAAATGATTGGCAATCCTCAGTGTATGCAGAGCTTTTTTATTTTGTTTTTTATTTCCTTGTGAAGTTCGCCTTGGTCGCTTCGTTTGACGACGGCAAACTCCCCGAGGCAACGAAAGCCACCCCAGCCAGATAGATGCGCTTACGTGGGGGAGGGGGGTGGCTGGGTCATTCAGCACTCCGTCATTACGTGACCCCTTCGGGGCGCCGTACATATCGTCTATTCAAAACCAGGGACGAGGTGAGATGCGTACACTCACCGACTTACATGGTGCAGATCCGTCAACTTATTCACCGCGACAGCCGCGGTCGCTCATTGGTCGCCCGACCCCCAGCAGCATCCGTGTCTTGCTAACCCAGAGCGCCTGGATGACTCAAGTGCTGAACCTCAGTGGCACCTCATCGCCTGCCGCGCACATGTCCGCTTGTCTCGGCCAACACCTGGGCGGGCGGTCGTACTAGCCCTCTAGACATGTCAATGGGAGCCTTGCGTGAAACCTCTGCCAGGACTTCGGCCTTTTGATGCACGTCAACTCAGGCAACCGGTGATCTTCCCTCTCCTTGCCCTACCCTGGCTGGAGATGGCTCGTCACTAATCGCGGACGCTCTTCACGGGGGTATGGCTTTTGTGAATGTCTCGTGACAAGCATGTATTGCATTTCTCTGTTGAGTGGGCGGGCCGCTTCGACTACGCGGCTACATGAAGGGGACGATGACTGTTGTCCCTGCTAGCTACTCCGAGCGACCATGATACGCTGTTCGGTTCACCACTTCACCTTCACCTAGTGACTTGTCTGGGCATGTAGATGGCACATCTCAGAACGAAGCGATCGGGAGGAGACGTTGTTGTACGTCAAGTTCTTTTCATTGCTGACCAAATGGTCCCTCTGTCAGCTGACCGAAGACCCGTTCCATTGTGGCCCTCGTCAGGATGTAGGCATGATATCCGGTTTTCCCATACACCCGCCCGAAATGCAAATCAGAAGTCGTCCACCAATCCCTAACTCTTCCCTTAAACCTCGGCAATCTCCCTCAGGCGACGGAGAGTAGAGCGCATGGCAGCGGCAGCGGGGGTGCTGTGTCTTATGGTTAGCCATATTCTCTCGTTCACCTCGTCGTCAAATGGACACGTACGAGACAGTGTAGGCACCGCCAGCAACGGTCTTCTTGCAGCCCTTGCAATTCCAGATACCGGTGGAGTGGCGCTTGACGGTAGGCTTTCCGCAGAACGTGCAAGTGTAGGTGGCGTGCTGGGAGACTTCCATCTTCTTGACCTGCTTACGCAGGGAGGCACCGTATCTGGTACCGTACTTGCCGGTCACTCCGACCTTCTATCAGGTTGTTAGCCATCTGCGGTGTGGATGCGACAAAGCAGAGATGTCCTGGCTTCAACGTTCTGACCAAGTAGCCCCCCACCAACAGTAAGCCTGTTGCGCTAGCAACTGTATCCGAGAGAGAAGAGAGAAGAGCAATTCGAACGTGGCGGAGCGGTTTCGTCCCCCAAGGATGACAGGGTGCCGGTACCAACTTGTGTCCGCAGAGCAACTCGATCTGGCCGGCATGATACATGGTTTGGGAGGGCATGATGGCATAGCCACGGTACCCAAAAGTCGTGTGGTCGTTAAACTAGGCGCCAGTGTGCTCGTCGCTCGTCTCTCTCTCTCTCGTTCTCATATCGTTGGAAGCTCGGCTCTGCTGCGTGGGAGGTCTAATCTCATTGTCTTGCCTCCCCCCGACCCCTAGGGAATCAACGCTTCACCCGCCATTGTCGCCAATGGGGGGAAGTCGTGACAATGAGTCGGCCGCGGGGCAGGGGGAAATTCGAACCATGACGGCAGGTCGATGAAGCCAGTCCTCCGCGGGATGGGTGTAGAGCATTACGAACCTTCGTGCGCTTGGCCATTTTGTCGATGTGTTGGGGGAACGGGTTCGTTGACTTGAAGTGCGACGAGTGGTGATGTTTCCTCCCAGGGCGGTTGCTCAATAAAAGTTTTTGTGCTTTGGTGGAATTTCAGGGCCGGCTCTGTGTGCGTGTGGAAAGAAGCACGGACCATTCGCTGAAAAACCGCTGTGTGTGGGGTTCGCGCCTGCCCTGAGTCCTGACGCAAGAAGGTCTTGGAAAGGAAATAAGCGGTCGCCACGTGACCTTCCGCCTGACTGGAAAATGCATTGTTAGCAGAGTTGCATCGACCGAGTGCTCAAACAGAAGGGAAAGCTTTCACGTCAAGTCAGGCCCGGAAGATCGGCGTCACAGTTGTCCGCTCGGGCCTTGTATGCCGTAAACGGAAAGCACAGCGTCCGGGTGGCCATGAGAGCGCTTTTACGCCGAAACTGCGCGGACCAGATGCCTTGAAGAGATGATATCGCCGTTTGCTACACAACAAAGTTTGCGCTGACGACGGCCGCATCATGGACCGTGTCACCAATGGACCACAAGACGGGCTATTGTATGATCAACAAACTGCGTACCAATTTATTTATTTTCGCAGCGCACTATAGGGTGTAAAAGACGGCCAGCCGCGCATAACTATGGCGTACCTAAGTGGCGTACTTAAGCAAATTGTGTGAGACTATTATAACACTTTGGCCACTGCCACCGAGTTCGCCTATCCCTCGTCCTTCAATATCCGAGACTGTGTATCCTGCAAAGCGACCTCAACATCATCCATCCTGTTGAGACCATCAAACAATGCCTTTCAAACAGCACGATCGCCAGTACGACCTGGTCGTCTTTGGTGCCACTGGTGCGTATAAGCCGAGATGCCGGCAGTCGAACGAAGGGAGCGCCACTGCTGACGATTTCTTTAGGATACACCGGGGCCTTCGTAGCAGAGCACATCACGACACACCTAACGACCAATCTGAGATGGGCCGTTGCCGGTCGTACAGAGGCGAAGCTTCGGCAACTTGTTGCCGAGTGCAAGAAGTTGAGTCCCGACAGATTTCAGCCAGGTGAGTGACAAGATTTTGCGCACCAACAGCAGACGAGCGTCCGAATCCCAACGGATTTTCCAAGGCTATATGGCTGTCTTGCATTCGACCATCCCCGGCTATTTATTCCTCGGGAGCTGCCAACACAAACCTGGCAAGAAGGCGAGAACCTGCATGTGCGGACAGATCGAGAGGTGGTGACGGATGACTGAAGGGCCATATCCTTCATACGGGCTTGGCGGCCGAGCATCCACCTAGCTCACCGTCGAGTACCTATGCTGACCAGTGCTTGCAGAAATTGAAATTTGCTGCGTCAACAACGAGGATCTTGAGGCGCTCGCCAGAAAAACGTACATTCTTATCACCACTGTGGGTCCATATGCGCAGTATGGCGAGCATGCGTTCAGAGCCTGTGCCGAGAATGGCACGCATTATCTGGATGTCACCGGCGAGACCCCTTGGACCGGCACGATGATTAATAAGTATGATTCCGTCGCGCGGGAGACGGGGGCGATGATGTTTCCGCAGATTGGAATCGAGTCGGCACCGCCTGACCTCATCACTTGGCTGCTGGCAAAACAGGTCCGCGAGAAGCTCTCAGCCAAGACGGGCGCCGTGACGGTGTCAATCCATCACCTGGAGTAGGTTCCCCAATCCACCTTCAGTTTGGTCAGTGGATCGTTGACGGAACGTCGTTCTAATGCCAAGTCTTACGATAGTTCAGCTCCATCTGGCGGTACACTGGCGACGGCCCTCGGCCTGTTTGACTCATTCACCCTTTCGCAGGTGAGGGCGCAGCACAAGCCATACGCTCTGTCGCCCGTTCCGAACCGCAACCACGTTCAATCGCAGATGTCCCTGCTCACCAGATTGGTGGGGTTGCGAAACGTGCCGGGCCTGGGGCTGATGACTACGTCCATTGCCGGGATGACGGACGCGCCCATCGTCCAAAGAACGTGGGGTCTCTTGGCAACTTTGCCCTCGCGGGAGAAGCAATCCTACGGACCCAACTTCTCGTTCCATGAGTACATGAGAGCCAAGGGGTACCTCCAAGGAATCGCCATCCACTGGGGCCTGGCGTTCTTTGGCCTGCTGCTCGCGACTGTTGCGCCGTTCCGCAAACTGGTCAAAATGTTTGTCTACCAACCTGGCCAAGGACCAGACAGGGAGGCATCCAAAAAGGACGAGATTGAGTATCGCGGCATTGCCATACCGGACAAGCAACCCAAGACGGGATGTTCCAAGGCATTCTGCCGAGCATGGTTCAATGGCAGCATGTACTACTGTGAGTCCATTCTCTTGGTGTGTCTTGACAGAGTGCTGACTCTTGCGAAAAGTGACGGCTGTTCTATTGGCCCAAGCTGCTTCGACACTTTTGGAAGAGGACGTCGACCTGCCCGGTGGTGTCTTCACCCCATCGTGCCTGGGGCAACCCTTCATCGACCGGCTGCAGGGAGCCGGCTTCAACTTTGAGTCAAGGATTCTGGAAAATTAGCGAGAGGAGCTGGGTGTACGCGATGTAATTGTGCAGTTGTACAGCTGTGTGCTCCATTCAGACAGTACTGTATTGAACATGCTATAAAGCTGTCATTTTGACAGATGGATGACAAGCCCATCTCGAACGCCGGCACTGGCTCCAAACAAGATGCATGTGAGCCAAAGAGAGTTGTCATGCCTGTTGCACAAGCGAAAGCTACTCCGTACAGCTGCAAAATGTAAACCGAACGAGTGTGTTAAGGGCACAGACTAGACCTGTAGGTGCCTATGCAAGATACACTTGAATGTTCCCACAGTGGAGGGTCGCCGGGCAGCGCTCCGGGTAATTAGCGCACCGAAAGCAGCTTTCCCCGCAAAATTCGAAGCCCGCAGCTCGTGCCAGGCCCTGGGAGGTTCCCCCAATTCATGAAAAGTGAGGACGTCATCAGGCATAGTGCAAATCTAGCACACTTCCCGGACCCAGCAAAGCATTGTCGCTCTCGTCATCCATACACGCTGCAATGACCTTTCTCTGGACACCGTCAAGCTAAGGGAAAAGGGCCACCCAAATTCTAATCCGTCGCGACATGCAATAACGCGGTCGACGACATTCCCTTCCGTCACCCGAGCCATCCTATTTTGTGATACCCCCCTGAGCTGGAAGAAAAGGAAGGAAAAAAAAAGAAAGAAAAAAAAGTCCATTTCGATAATGGACCAGACAACAACAACAGCCGGCGGCTCGGCCTCGGCCACCGAAAACACGCCACTTCTTTCAACGACAGAAACCCGGCCGAAGTCGTCGCGCACCGTCACCTTCAACCCGAATCCCGTCTCCAAGACGATAGAGCCCGAGCCGGCCTTTCAACGGTTTAAGGCGGGTCATGGTAACAGTCTGTCGACGAGTCCCGGACAGAACTCTGCACTGGCCTCCATCAACAACAAGCTGCGGAGGAGGAACAGCCATGGAGCTGTGCCGAGCCACATACCCCCCCAAATGGTGCCCAAGATTGGCCCACAGCGAAGCACCAAGAACGCGCAGAAGCTCAAGCTGCTGCCGAACCCCGAGCTCAATGAGGAGAGCCCCGACGAGGAGAGTGGCAGGGACGTGTACTCTCAGTACACGCGGATCAAGGATCCCACGGCGCGCAGAGATGCCGCACGCCTGGGTAAGGCGGACCGCGACCGGTTGCCGAGGGTGACGGCGTACTGCACGGCGAACAAGTACCAAATGGAGGGATTGATGCGTTTCCTCAAGGGTCGGGGAAAGTCGAGGGGCGCCACCCCCAAGTTGATCGACGAGTGCATATACTCGGCGTACGACTACAGCAAGACTGTCGAGAACAGGCACGTCCGCAGAGCCGGCTCCCAACCCGACCCAGTGCAGGCCTACGAGAGGCGGCACTCGACGGGCGATGTTTCGGACAGCGGCTTCGCTCGGGACAACCTCATCGACCTCCAGTCAGAAGGCCGACAGGACTCTGGGTTTGTCGACGGCTTCGACGGGAGCAGCGAGGAGCACGCACTGGTCGAGACCAACCCGGACTTTGACACCAAGATCCACACCCCCGAGGTCTTCCTTTTCAACTACGGAGTCGTCGTGATATGGGGCATGACCCCGGCTGAGGAGCAGAGGTTCCTCAAGGAGATTGCCAAGTTCGAGACGGAGAAGCTGGCGCCGGATGATGTCGAGACGGAACATTTCAACTTTTACTACACGCGGGAGTACCAGGCGCGCATCTACAACGACTTCATCACGCTGCGAGACAAGCGGAACTACATGACCAAGCTGGCCATCTCTCATGCTCTAGCGCAGAGTGTCAAGGTAACGCACAGCGAACGCGCGAGCCCGGCTATACTACGGTTGCTAACGATGGCAGACGTCCTTGTTCGAGGAACTGATTGCCTCAACGGTCGACACGTGCAAAGACATCCCCACGCAGATCGCACTGACGGGCAAGATCGCCCTGAGCCGAACGCAGATCAACATGCAGATTGGCGAGCTCTTCATCCTCCGCATCAACATCCACCTCAATGGCTCGGTGCTCGACACCCCAGAGCTGTTCTGGGTCGAGCCTCAGCTGGAACCGGTGTACCAGGCTGTCCGTAGCTACCTAGAGATGGACCAGCGTGTCGGCCTCCTGAATGAGCGCCTGGACGTCATTGCGGACTTGCTCGCCGTGCTCAAGGACCAGCTCAGCCACGGACACGGAGAGAAGCTGGAGTGGATTGGTGCGTTATCCCTTCCCCATCGCCGCAAGGCGCGACTAACAATAGGCGTGCGCAGTAATTGTACTCATTGCGGCCGAGATTCTCGTCGCAGCCATCAACATCGTGGTGGACTTGTATGCATCGGATTAGTAACATGTACCGTATGGCATTCTTTTGGCAGCGGTTCATTGCGGGCGGGAAAAGTCAGGCGATTGGAGGGGATTCCACATCAGGGCACACAGAACACCACAGGAGTTCCGTCTTGTGGCACAGTAGAAATAAGGAGCATCACGGCGCAGAGTGTCCGCGCAGGAAAGGATGTAATCAATCGGCTGCGATGCCTCCATCCCTAGGCGCTGATTATGGTGCCTCGTATTGTACAAACAAACAATCAAGTTTCTACCCGCAAAGCCGCCCCAACGCCCAAATCCGTCCCAACACGCGGCGTGCGCGGAACCGCATCAGTCGTCCGCCTTGTCATCCGCGGCCGGAGTGTCCTCCGGTTGCTCCTCGGTATCGTAGTTTGCCATCTCTACGTCTTCGTCTTGCGATGCCGCGGGCGCCGCCTCTGGCGACTTCTCGCGCTCCTCTTCCTCCTTGAGCTCGGCGCTCTTGCTCTTGGCCGCGAAGGCATCCTTGTCCTTCTGGTACTTGGCCATCTCCTGCTCGGAGCGCTTCTGGAACGCCTCCTTCTCGCCGTCCGGCAGGTCCTTCCAACCGCGGGCGAGCTCCTCATCAACGTTGGCGTCTGCGTCGTCCTTGCTCTTCTCCTCGAGAGCAGGCCGCGTCTCGGCGCAGTACAGCTCAAACGCGTTGCCGGGACGCTTGGGCGGCTTCGCGACACCGTTGGTGCGCGCCGAGGCCTGGGTGTCGCCGCCCTGGGTGTGGGAGAAAGTCTCGGAGCTGGGTGAGATGGTCGCGGCGGTCTGACTGAGTGGTCTAGAGTTGCCCTTGGCGGCAGCGTCGATCTCGGCGAGGACCGAAGGCTTCCGGTGACCGCGTTTCGTACGCAGAGGCTTTTCTTGAGGCTGAGATGGTGTCAGCAACCTGCTTTGTCGTCGAGGTGGGCTTGGCGGAGGGCCTACAGTCGGTGGCGGGCTCGGGCTGCCGTCTGAATCCTCCACGTTGGTGCTTGTTCTCTTAGCTAGTTGCTCCAGCAAGAAGGCCCTCTCCATCCGCAGCTTCTCAATCTGTCGCCGGATCCGGGCGAGACGGATGCGAGTCGCGTCGTTTTCCTCCTCGACCTCGCCGGTGCGCTGCTTGAGCTGGACGCATTTTCTCCGGTAGGCCTCTTCGACGGAGGGAGGTAGGGAAGGGGGGATCGCTGAGAGGTCGATCGTGGGGGGGTTAGCTCGAATGATCTTTTTGGGAGGCATTGTGCGGATGGTCTGGGGCAGTTCGTGTGGGGGAGGGAACAGGAATTGGCCCTTTTTCTAGGAAAGGTAGGAAGACGAGTTGCGATGAGATGGGGTTCGCGGCAGATGTCAAGCGGAGCTTTGCGTGGTAGGTTTACCGATTTCAAAGGAGTCACAAACGTACCGGATTGCGGAGCCATCACGTATCATTCGGAAGGGGGCTCGATGATGATTTGCGCACTGGGAGAAGGCAGATTAGGCTGAGGGTTCGATTGAGACGCGTATCTGGTACTTGGAGAGTGGAATTGGGTATGGTGAGAGTCTGCCGAGAACGAGAGAGACGGGCGACTATCGAGAGGAAACCAACGGCAACAAGCAACCTGGGACCGCGCCAATTGGGGAGTGCGAGGCTGGCAGCTGCTGTCTCGCACGCTTCAGGGACAGCAAGAAGCCATGGAAAGACAGGGGTCTCCAGTGGTCCGTCCGGGACACAGCGCTGGAACCACCCCCAAAATGTGGTACCATAGTAGAATGCACCAGATGCGCCGGATCGGAAGAATGGCACGCCTGCAACGTCGTGATTGGTCACCCCGATGCCAACCCACCAAAGGCTGCAGCAATACGCTCCCGCACCTGCACCCAGACTTTTTTTTTGAGGCCTGGAAGAGGAGCTCCCGCAACCATATCATCAACACACAGGGTACTTTTCACGCTGTTATTTTTGAGCTTCACGACCGAACTCGCCCTGACATTCAAAGCGTACCAGGTCGTTGGTTCATCATGTCTCTCAATATCCCCAACGCGCCTAACGCGAACCTGTTCAAGCAGGGGTACAATAAGTGAGTTCCCCTCCCATCTGAAGCTCCCCCCCCCCCCGCCTTGCTGTCGGTCACCGACTGACCCCCTCGTACTAGCTACGACTCCGAAGATGGAGCCGTCCTGCGCAACATCGACGCCTGCCGGGCCATCTCCTCGACCGTTCAGACGTCGCTGGGTCCCTACGGTCGCAACAAGATCGTCATCAACCACCTTCAGAAGATGATCCTCACATCCGACGCCGCCACCATCCTCAGAGAACTCGATGTCGTCCACCCGGCGGCCAAGCTCCTGGTCATGGCCAGCCAACAGCAAGAGTCGGAGATGGGCGACGCCACCAACCTGGTTATCGTTCTTGCCGGTGAGCTGCTGAAGAAGGCGGAGGACCTGCTGCGTATGGGCTTGAAGACGGCAGATATCGTTACCGGTTACGAGCGTGCACAAAAGTTCGCCCTCGAGACGCTGGACGAGCTTTCCGTGGACAAGGTGGAAGACATCCGGTCTCAGGAAGAGCTCAGCAAGGCCATCCGCACTGTTGTCGCCAGCAAGCAGAACGGCAGCGAGGATTTCCTCTCCGACCTCGTCGCCGAGGCCGTCCTGGCGGTGTTGCCCAAGAACCCCGCTGGTTTCAACGTCGACAACATCAGAGTGGTCAAGATCATGGGCGGCGCCCTGGAACAGAGCCGTGTGGTCAAGGGTATGGTCTTTCCCAAGGAGCCTGATGGTTCGGTCAAGAAGGCACAGCGCGCCAAGGTCGGAGTCTTCTCCTGCCCCATCGACAACAGCCAGACCGAGACCAAGGGCACCGTGCTCCTGCACAACGCCAAGGAGATGATGGACTTCACCAAGGGCGAGGAGTCGCACCTCGAGGCCGCCATCAAGGAGCTCTACGATGTCGGCATCAGAGTGGTTATTGCTGGTTCCACGGTGGGCGAGCTGGCCCTCCATTACCTCAACAGATTCGGCATCCTTGTCATCAAGATTCTTAGCAAGTTCGAGCTGCGCAGGATCTGCAGAGTTGTCGGAGCTACCCCCCTTGCTCGGCTGGGTGCCCCCATGCCGGACGAGATGGGCTCCATCGATGTTGTCGAGACCCTCGAGATCGGCGGGGACCGCGTTACCGTCTTCAGACAAGAGAACGAGGCCACAAGAACAGCGACTCTGGTCCTGAGAGGAGCCACCCAGAACCACCTGGACGATGTCGAGCGTGCCGTCGATGACGGTGTCAATGTTGTCAAGGCTATCACTAGAGACCCCCGCCTTGTGCCTGGCGCAGGTGCTACCGAGATCCAGCTCGTCGAGCGGCTGAACGCCCTCGGCGAGAAGACCCCGGGTCTGTCACAGTACGCCATCCGAAAGTACGGCGAGGCCTTTGAGGTCATCCCCAGGACCCTTGCCGAGAGTGCCGGTCTGGACGCCACGGAGGTTCTGAGCAGACTGTACATGGCACACCACAAGAAGGACGACTGGGCCACCGGTGTCGATATCGAGGTAAGGACTACGTGCCCGCCGTTTCAAAACCGGGATGCTGACAAGCTTAGAACGATGACGGCTCTGGTACCCTGGACGCTCGTGAGGAGGGAATTCTGGACCTGCTTGTCTCCAAGTCCTGGGCCATCAAGCTCGCGACCGAGGCGGCCCGGACCGTCCTGTCAGTCGACCAGATTATCGTGGCTCGCCGGGCCGGTGGCCCCAAGCCTCCCGGTCCCAACCCCAACTGGGATGAGGACTAAACGGGGAAATGAGGCGGCTGGTAATGGAGTTTGCGTCGGTTTTTATGATCATAGACCACCCAAAAGTCACGTCGAGATATCCCGAATAAAGTCCTGAAGACAAATGCAACGTGCGCGAGCACGTCCGAAGTGATGGTCTGCAACGTTATCTACACGGCTGCGAGAGTGAGACGACCGAGGATACCATCTGCCCAGTCCATTAGCACAATGGACGACGCTGTTGTGATATATTGTCTCGCCGTCGATTCACCTCGTAGCTCATTTGATGTGTGGTTTTTATCGAGTTAACCGGCACGACTACACGAATTTCTCCCAAGAAACTCCACCACGATGGCTCCTAGCTCTTTTAACGGCTGCACCAGCGGCACCAAGGGCGACAAGGGCAACGAACAGTCGCACTTGGTCACCGTTTATCTTCGGGCATGCTCGCTTTATCTTGGGTCCTGGGGAGAGGACGCTGAACTCGCGAGCCTCTTCGCGGTTGTGTAAGTTTAGCATAGCAATGGCCGGCCTCTTGTTCTTATTCTCTCTCGGGCCACTTGTGTATCGAGCGGGCTCCAATAGCATGCTGATAGCGAACTTCCAGTTCGATTACTTCCCCCCACCCGGGCATTTTTGGGTATGAGGGCTTGAGACAACATCGTCTCCCAATAATTTGCTGGCCTCCCCCGATCGTGACATATGGACCTTGTCCAACCCCCCCTCTGCGTCTCAGCAAGCGGGTTTCCTGTTCAAGCAAGAGGCCTTTGATACTCGGTGCCCCCCTTCCCCCAGCATCGATGCCTCGTCGTCATTGTGTTGGCGAGTAACACTGGCAAGTCGTCTCGGTCACTACCACGCCCGCCTGACAGGTCTGCGAGATTACGTCAATGTTAGATCCAAAAGCAGCGTGCTTGGCAATGTTAGGTGGCGCCATGGGCAATATTTCTGGCTTTTTAGCCATCGCATAAGTTCATGGAGGTTTTTGTCTGCTGTAGCGGACAGTGTTGACGCTGGATTGCGAACGGAACCGACGAGTCCCCGGCTTTGGGACGTCCTTGCTCGGCGACAACTATGATCATGAACCCTGTTTTGATAGAAGATCCTACTGCTGGGAGGGCCTTTCTTTTCTTTTTCTTTTTTCTTTTCTTTTTCTTTTTTCTTTTCTTTTTTTTTGCGGAGGCTCTTCAATGGCAGCACCTGTAACCAGGGTGTGGTTTTAGGACTCTTACGGGACGGCATACCTTTGGAGCACAGATTCATACTGAATTAAGTCATGAGCTAATGTCGGAGATTGCCTACGATTAGATATCTAGGGCTGCTGGGCCGAAGCCGGGACGAAGAATGGCAATGGGAAGAAAACGAAAAGGCCGGCTGGACGTCTGCGGCTTTGCATCAACGGCGTCGTCGCACGACACAATAGCTTCGTATAGATACACAACGCGCTCACATGGGATGGTCGGCAGGATAAAGCCCTTCTTCGCCGGAATCACCAGAACCGTCTGCTTGAGCGCTTTACGTAGCAAAAGTCTTGGGGCCGGATGGGGCCAACGGCGTTACAAGGCTCGTTAAACTACAGATTCCTTGTGCCCTCTTCCGTGGGTTACTAGTCAGTGTTACACAACACACTGCTAGAGCACGGCCGAGAATGGAAGCAGACTGCCTATTGGCTTCCAAGGCAGCAGTCAGGGGCGCAGAGCAGACAAGATGAAGCCGCGGTGATGGCCGCGCGTCCAGCAGGCCTTCATCGCATCAAATTTTGGCGTCATTACCACCAGAGACATCACACATGTTGCTCCTGTATCCACCATAGCTTGGGCTCAGCCCTGGTTTGTTCTCAGCATCTTTGTGGCGACAAAAAAAGGATTCCCCTTGTTTTGAGATGCGAGACAGGGCCGGCCGGCTTGGAGCAGTTTACAGTTGGGACGAAGTTGACCACGCAAGACATCTTTTCCCTTCCACGGTCTCTGGCTTTTGGTAATTCTGTCTTTGTTGAAACGCTAGTGTGTTCTTTGGTCTATCTTGTTCAGGTTGCAGGTATGAACCTTGTGTTACCTGGCCAGGAATCGCCCCTTGTCTGGCCAAACTTGCTACCTAGGGGCACAAGTGCACTATCAGACGAGTATGCGACCTCCCCCTGGTAGGAAAGGGGAAGGGGGAGTGGTCAGTCGAGGCCAGTTGCTGATAGAAAACAACTATTGTGTCCAAGTCTGTGACCGGCCAGGTGCATGTACGCATATCCATAATGGGACAGCAAAGTAATCTGACCCGAACAAAGGACTGGGTAACGGCGAGGCTCAACCTTGCTGCCACTGTGTGCATCTCTGTCATGTTCATGTCGACTGCAAGGCAAGATTTCGTGTGGCATGGTAACGGCAAGTGGTATTGCACTAATATTTTGCACGTCCGCATCGTTCATCCCAAAACATGTACAAGCATGCTTTTTCGCAGCCCATTTGCTCTCCCTCCGCCATCCATCATATGACTCCAACCCCTTCCCTTTCTCCAGACATCAGTGACATAAGAAGCGAAATTACAATGACATGTAAAGGCCCCCTCCCCAGTGGTATCGCACCTCGGAACAGCTTCATGACATACGACAGCAAGCGGCTGAAACCAAAAGTCATAATTGACCATGTAGACAAGAAGTGGAAAAATAAAATCAAAAGCAAAACAAATGTGGTATCTTCCCGTCGAAGCATCCTGCGGTTCGGTAAAGACATGATGAGCAAAAGCAGCTGTATCGGTAATAAAAAAAGCAAATCAGCTGCAGTTTGGGGGCATGATGCATGGCTAAGTCGAGCCTTGCTGAGTAAGGGACCGTAAGAATGTGTTTTTCCCTCCTGGAAACCGGTACGCCGCAATTTGGTCACCCCGGACATTCCAAGTGTGGAATCAAGGCAGCCGTGATGTGATGGGCATGTTGTGATGGGGAGCTCGATCAAGCCTCCTCCATGATGCCACCCTCGCCGCCACCCTCGTCGCGCCACTCACGGCTCTTGCTCGTCAGCTTCTTCACACCCGCAACACGGCCCGCCCAAAGAGACTCGATAGGTGTGCGGAAAGTGAAGGCGCGCTGAGAGCTGATGACCCCAATGGCTTGCAGAACAGCCTTGCGACTATCACGACCAAAGACGGCAGGGTGGCTGATCCACTCGAGGCTGCTCTCAAGCTCGGCGTCCAGGGCGGCGACGGTGTTGGCGTCGATGCCAGCGCCCAGACCGAGGCCGTCGTTGGACCGGCTGCGCCCAATGCTCGCGGCCGGGTACCCGTTGACAGCGGACGAGTTGGCGGACTGTGTGGGGGATGGTGTCTGCTTCCTGTCGGGAGTGATAGATGGCGAAGCGTCGTTCCCTGGGTGCGGGGTGGACGGAAGGGATCTGTTTGGCGGCGCCGTCGGCGGAGGGATGGGGGGAAGACCGCCCTTTCCAAGCCCCTTCAGGATGGACCGGGTCTCGTTGAGTAGGGTGTGGGCTCGGTCGTGCTGCCCGCGTGACACGAGCGTCAAGGCACGGGTCAGCATGTCCGACGTCAGCAGCTCCATGCGCCTTTGGACGATGTGCGGGTGAGGTGGGATCGGGGGCGAGTTGGCCCACGAATTCTTTTGCTTCGCCAAGGCGGGGAGCATGGTGATGGCGAGCAGAGATGGGCGGGGGAGATGCGACAGCGTGCCGTCCCGCAGGATGTCTCCCCACGTGAGGTCCGCTTGGATCAAAGGGACCTCCTCCACAGACGTGATTCGCTGGTCGTCACCATCGCCTGTGCCACCGAGCGCCTCCAAACCGGACACAATGTTGTCCCAGGGGTCTTGGGGCAGCTGCTCCTGCGACGTGTTGTCCGGCACAATGACAAGCTGGACCAAAACGTCGCGCTTGTCGCCGAACCTCAAGTCGCCGAGCGAGGCCTCGGCGTCGCGACCGGTCGCCCGCTTCGTGATCTGCAAGGCACCGCTGATCTTGTGGAACTTGGCTGGCGATCCCTCGGGCAGCTTCAGCTTGAGCTTGACGTTCTGGTGAGAGAGCGTCTGCATGGCACCGAGACACCCGGCAAGACACTCGCGGAGCATCATCCAGTCCTTGACGTACGTGTATGAGGCCTTGGTGCGGGTGGACAGCTCAATCATCGTATCCGGCTTGTGAGTCATGCCAAGACCAAAGGAGTGAATGGTGATCTTGGCTGCTTCGGCCCTAGACACCACAAAGTCGACGCTGTCGGCGTCAGAGGTCGACGCGTCGCTGATGAGCATGATGGTTGCGATCGGATTGTTGTACTTGCGCTGCATGAGCAAATCCATGGCGACGTTCGCACCCTCGACAACGTCGGCGCGGTGGCTCTTCTGACCGACCGGCTTGATGGAGGACAGAACGTTGCTCCAGCCGGGCCAGGCCTTGGTGGTCATACCAACAATAGGTACGCCGCCGCCCCCAGACCCGAAGGTAACGAGGCCCATCCTGTCTCTTTCGCCGAGGGTGTTGACCATGAACTTGAGGGCGTCGCGGACGAGGTTGATCTTGACGCCCTGCATCGAAGAGGAGATGGGCACGACGACGACGACATCGATCGGCACGTGGATCGAGGTGGGCATGGTCGGGCTCCTCTGGAAATTGGTGTACTCTGTGGGCGCCGTGGTGACCGACTTGGGACCGCCCCATGACGAGGCAACCGACGACACCCTCTGTTGTCGCGAGACCCGCTGCCAGTCCTCCTCGTCCGTCTCCGAGAACTCGCCCCGGTCGTACTCCGGGCTGCGCACGGGGGACGTCTCGACGGCGTTCAAGTCAAGCAAGGCCTGGTGCCAAAGCTTGAGTTGATTACGGTTCTCGAACCTCAGGTGGAATTGGGGCAACTCCGCGACGGAAAGGTTTAGCGTCAGGACGTTCTCATCGACTATTGGGAATGGTTGGTTAGCGTCGAGCTCTAGTTTTCTATTTTGACCCTTCCTGGGAAACGAGGACCATGGCGACTCACTGTTGCCCGTCTCCGAGACCTCGTTGAGGTGTTTCTTGATGAGAATCGACCCTTTCAGCGTGCAGCGGACGGCTTTCTTGGGCATGCCGTTCTCGTCCCACTGCCCTGCGAGGGGTACTTTCTTCTCCTTGACGCAGATCAGCATCTCGGCGAACAGGAAGCACTCAAGCTCCTGCCAAGACTGCTTGTCCTTGCCGACGCGCAGCGTGCCATACAGCCTCAATTTGCCGAATCTGTAGTCCGTTAGTGGTGCCATTGGTCAGTGGCTTACAGATCAAATCTTACCTGGTGAAGTCAAGGCCATGCCAGTTGTCCACCCGGTTTCTGAGGTTCTCCGTCATCTCCTCCAGTACCTCCCTCGACTCGTACGGGTAGAACCGCGGTGCACTCCGGGCCGGGGACGGCGGTCTCGCAAACGCATCATCGATTCGAGCGTTCACGACGGGCAGGCCAGGCGGGGCTGACCCGAGGTCCTCGGGGTCGGGCCGCCACTTGTTGTCGGGCACTTCGACGGTGATGAGACAGGTCAATGTCTGCTGCTGGCGAGACCTGTTGATGGTGGGGAACTCGGACCGGACGGTCACAGTCGGGGCCGGGATCGGATTCCTGGTGATGCCACGCGGGCTGCCCGGCGTGGTTTCCATTGCCTGAACGTCGTAGTCGTGCCTGCGTGGCGGC